TTGTTTTTCCATCAATGGAGTTTAAAGCTTGCACACATCAGCACTCTGTTGATAACGAGACCTTTGCTCATATTTACCTGGTCGAGCCGACTAGTGCACTAAATGCCAAGGTTTGCACAGGTAACTCAAAGAATAATTGTTTTTTCACCATGTACGAATGGGAATCAATACGAATAATGACGATCCCATACTTCCGTCAGTGGGAAAGACCTCTTCACTGCACATTGTCTTCAAGGTTTCTCAACTTGAAAGAAATACGCATAATTCCGAAGGTTTTTCAAAGAGTCAGTGTTATGTAGTATGTATGAGTTAGAGAGAGAATGACTTGAATGACTAAGTCTCGATGGGACCCAATATGTTATATTTTACCCCATAGGACCCTTCCGACGGCAGTTCAGTCGACTACAAATTCTTCTACATAGTTCTACTACAAATTCTTGTAATTGCTTTGAGTCCAGGTTAGGAAAATCATTGCGACTCTTTGTTGAAAAGTGACTTCTCCCCCACGCACTTCACAGACCAAATTACGCTTACGCAACTTCGGCCAAGATTTTTAGAACAAAAAAGCAAGGAGTAAATAGATTACAACCAAATATTATAACCGTAAAATCATTCTGTGACTTGAGAAATTGGGCTCTTGCATGATGAAGATTGGGATCCATGGGAAATCTTACTAACTTAACTTTGGGAAGAATTTCTTTTTTTCATTGAAGTGGAAACAAAGCAGTTACAAGAACATAACAGAGGGTGACCCGTTGGAGTGGTCCATCCGGTAAAATGGAACATATTGGGTCCTATCAAGCATTCAGCATTCTGATAGGGTCCCATCAAGTAATTTTCTCATGAGTTAGAGGTCTGTGATGACTTGTGGAATCTAAATGCGAGATTTGGAACTCTGTTGTGCTCTGGTTATTCTCAGCAGAGCTTACTGAGTACACAGATCCTGCTTGCATGCAGCATTTCTCACGAAAGCATGAAAGATCGATCACGACAAAAGTGAATTTTACGTTTACTAATACCATATTTTTTATAATTTTATTATGCAATAAATATGGAACCATCGACCTTCCTCTATATGATTTAAACACCTGGTCTTCTAACCTCAAGGGAATTTAATGTAGGATGTTTAAGAACTTCAGTAGCTCAATTAGGAGCTCGAGCTACTGAAGTTCTAAAATTGATCAAAAGGAAGAGCGAAGATGTAATGGATGTCCTTTGCCTCCCCACAGAGGAAGCCTTTATGGCAAGACAAGGAGTATAAAATAGCCGTGCCGCACCAAGGCTTCCCCTTGTTCTTGCAATGCTTGTCTATAACTGGAAAGCACATCTGAGAACTGACATGTTATTCCTACCTCACTTTCAGGCTTGGTCGAATTAGGAGAAGAGATCTTCGTAGATGCTTTTGCAACTGTAAGTAGTACAATACATCGCTTTCTCTCTCCCGACTGCTTGCAGTATTTCTCTAGCAGTAATGGTTTCCTCTTAAGTGCAGGGCCGACATTAGAGCTCTGGAATTCCTTAAATCAGTATGTTCAAAAAGAAAGGAAGAAAAGGGTACTCTGGAGAGTGCAAACCGGTGGTCACTGCTTTAATAGCATTTCAGGGCAGTTGAAAGACTCTACTATAACATTGGGCTGATTTGAGCCACAGGGGCCCAATAATTACCAACACATTGACTTTGGCTTTTACTGACATATTAAAGGTTGACTGTCGTGCTATCCAGCTCAGCTGCCCAGGGCGAATTTAGTCCATCCTGAGCTACAGTTCGTCAAATAAATTAGATGCGATATTGAGAATTACTATTGAGAAAATCGGCCGTACCAGCAAGATCAAATACGGGCTGTGTCAATTTTTTTAAAGAATGTGGGTGGCCTTGCGTACATTCCTCTTACGAAAGCCAACACGAGACAACTGTCGACTTCAACATGCTGATTTTGGTGTCTATTTTAGAACTGGGAATGACTGTTTTGAAACTGGCGTATTTAATGCTTGAAACTATACATTCAAATTTTTGAAATTTCTCATTCATTCCTTATCCTTGTCATGTACTGAACATCTTAGCACAAATACCTTCGATTTGAATAGGATATGGATATAGGGCCCCAAAGGATACGCCGAAAGCATCAGAATTAGTATCATGGAGATCATATGTAACTTCACGGTTTGACTACAATCTTTTTGGTCTTAATACTTCAGAAGTCCTGTACAGGTTTCAGTCTTCTACAAAAGAATGAAATTTTTATGGGTGTACGAAGGAATCAAGACAAAGGAATTCGGAATTTTTAAATGTTCTCTAATTCCGTTTTCAGTACAAAAGTATTATCAATCGACTATCACTTAATATAGCAAAGAGGATGGGAATACTACAAACTTTTACCAGTATGAAGCCAAACGGGAAATAACAGCTAGATATTAATATCATGGCAATGGAAATTACATACATATACACCTAACACCTAACACCTAAAGGAACGGGGATTTTCTATACCTATCATGTAATTCATGTCATGAAGAAGGTTCGATGACGTTCTCTCAAAGGGGCTCAGGAGAAGTACGAAGAAACGATTGATCTACGTGAGAAAAACATGTAGTTCCTACTGACTGACAGCAACCTTTTGTCTAAGAACTAATGTCAGAGAGAAGAGTCGGCACACAACCTCAAAGATACCATACTTCCGATGGATTTATATAACAGAATGTCAATGGTTGATGTGTACCCACCCATATTCTTTAATCAAGGAATTTTTGTAAGCTACGAAAATGGTCTACACTTTTCTATTGAATCGGAAGTATCTCATCCGTTTTCATTCATTCATCGACCTGCCAACTGAGGAACTAGCTTAGAAGCCTTTCCACCTAATCTTGTCCCTCAGTGCAATGCAGTAAAAACCTTACCCACTTTTAAACATCACACCGACGAATACATGAAAAGAATAAAATGATAAGTATCTGAGAAATCTAATCTCCTGTATATTACACCACCTTCGAGTTGTATGAATGTCTTGCCGTGCGTCATTTGTTGTCCATGATAACCATCACATACTGAGAACCATGTTTTGATGGAGGATGTAGGAGAGCAGAACATACGCAATCAAAGCATTAAACGCTCTACAGCAATTAAACTGGTGCTCTGCTAGAAAATACTACCAATAGAGGTTCAGAACTTCTCTTGAATGTGAGTATGCAACCAAAGAAGTGATCATGTCGCTCTTTTGAATCTTCCCATTCTGGATTCGTCCATCGCTGCATGGGAATGTGCAATGACTAACTTGCTCAAGGCAATTTAAGGGGAGTAAAAAGCCATCGAGATTTCAGTTCTTTTAGCTTGGGAAAGACTTCCGTAGCACAAGTCTCGAAATATCTGCATCCATGTGACAATGGCTCGTTGCATCTATTTAAGTGACACAATTGTGTCAGAAAATTTATTCACTGGTCATTCTTGCAACCTTTAATACTCGTGTAAGCTTGTGTCATCTCGAACGAGGCGTCGAGCATGAATGTGTTTTAGATGAATTCTCTCCGGCCCAACGCTTATTTCATGCTATCTCTCGAGTATACACTACAGTATCACTGTATGAGGTTTGTTTATACTGCATCCAAATGCAGCAGAGGCTACGTAAGGTACGGCCCAGTAGAGAGTGCAGTCTCCATCGTTCATGTCCAGAAGAATTTACCTCAAAGACCATGTATGTGGCACAACGGTATCGACCGTGGATAGTTCTCGAAACCTACTTTCACCGACGGTGCAGACAACACAGCCTTGTCCTTTAACGACTGACATGTCGATCGCCTCCATTTACCGAGCGGACCTCAGTCTTCGAGGTGTTGTGCGCCTTCGTTGAGCAACATAAGCCACAGATTTACTCCCTGGGACTTTCATGTGAAGGAAAGCAAGCTAGAAATAATTTCTATCCCACTTTCACGAAATCGAGATGAGCAGAGCTCGAAACAACTGAATCTTCTCCGCTGCAGTAATCTCAAGAGTGGCAAAGCATCTGTGATTGGAAGTCATGCAGGATCGAGGAGCAGACTGCAGCGACAGCGGAACAGTCTAGCCTGGTGAATCCTAGTGGGAAAGGTACAATTCCGTGAAGGGGAAGAGACTGAGGTACTTGCTGCCTGGACTGGCATGGATGCAGACACAGACCAGATTGTGTGATACTCGACTTGATGGTGAGGAGAGGAAGAAGCCTGTGGCCGTTTTTGTCGTGTAAGCGTGAGTTGTTGAGTAAGACGACAGAGAGATCTCAGCTGTCTTTCTCGGGAGCGAGAAAGATATAGTGAATTCCATGATTCAAAAGGAGCCAATCCCTGAGAGGCAGGCCAGGCCAGGCTTCGATGGCAGAATAGTTACAAGGAACATTATCTGAAGCGCGTCATCTGTCAGCAGCCACGCTGCAAAGTCGGCAGCCGCTCTTCGCCCGTCCGCTGCAACACCTCCACCCATGGCTACCGCTCTCATATCGGCATGCGTGCTCCGATGGAATCTCCGACGGCCGCGAGGAGAGAGAGAATTTCGGATTCGCCAACAGAATAACATAAAGCATCATTCGATGCGCATACCGGGACCTCTCTCTTCGCCCCGTGTTGACTTCCACCACTCGACTCTACTCTACTCTTCTCTTCTCGACTCGACTCGACGCTCGCCATAGCAAAGCTGCCGACGACGAGTCCGGAAGGGGCAAGAGCTTTCAGGTTGTCAAGACAGGGAAAAGGGAAAGAAGGAAGGGCATGGAAAGAGGGCGATCCAACCAGAGCAGAAATGGAAGGGGGAAAGAAAAAACCAATTCCCACTGCAGAGCAATAAATGGAAGAGATTAGAAGAGAAGTGAAGAGAAGGGAAGGGAAGTGAAGAGCGGGCATGGCCGATAGCTCAAAAGTGAAGATTGAGGACGAAGGTCTGAGGGAGGAACGGACAGGACCAGAAGGGAAGGGGAAAGTCACCACCGCTGGGGAGCATCAGTCAGTTGCCATAAATGAATGTATGCATGGATGTATGTATGAGCCTTTGCGGCCTTTCATTAATGCTCGAGAAGAGCACAATCACCACATGGACAGGGAGGGAAGGGAAGGGAGCGAGGGCGGTCAGGCGCGACCTCACCCCAGGCTTCCCTTCTCTTGAGGTCCAACTTCACTTCAGAACGACATCGGAGAAAATGCTGCTGACTTTCCAGATCCGAGGCCTTTTATATTCGTGCACGCCGCTGTCCGCTTTCGATAGAGACGGAGAGAGAGAGAGAGAGAGAGTGGTGGTGCTACTACTGCCCTCCTACTCCGCTGTCCAGACTCCACAGCACAGACGTGAGCTGAGGCCGTCGAGGCCTCCGTCGTCGTCGTCGTCCACCACCTTCGTCCTGTCCAACATCTCAAGCGCAGCATCGATCGTCGTAGTAGGCTGGCGAGCAAGAGAATATTTGCCAGCCTGTCCTGTCCTGTCATCTGTAGCTTCCAACGATTGCACTTTTCTGACCTTCGCTGCTCTTAATGCCCCCCCATTACTCCCTCCATTCTCCCTTCCTTCTCCAATCTTTGCACCTTCCCCCCATCCCTCCCCCCCACACACTCTCTCTCTTTCTCCCTCTCTCGTACCGGGTCCTGGGCTCCCTCGTACGCGTCTTCCATATGAAGCCCGCCGCGCCACGCAGAGGCTTAAACCTCAAACCCCTCGCTGCCGGTCCACCACCGGCCAGAGCGCGGGCGTCCCGGTGGGCCGGTCATCCGAGGAGAGGACCGAGACATACGGTGGTGGATCGTATGGAGGACGACGGGAAGGGACGGGGCGGGACCTTGTCGTATAATGTTGGTCGCATAATGAGGCCAATGTAGACCGGACGTACATTGATGGGCGCCCGAGGCGTCGACCACGTAAGCACCCGAGACCTCGTCACGGGTAGAAAGGTCTCTGAGCCACAAGGACAGGGGCGATTATCAGAATCCACTCATTACATGAAGTTTCAAAGCCTTTTCAGAAACGAGGGCTCGACATGTCGTCGTCGGACCGGGAATCGACGGCCTGTATGCAGCTTTCTAGATTTAATTGGCTACTATGATTCGCTTCGCCTCTGCTCAGTACCATACGTATCGTCCTGTTCGATGGTACAGTTAACAATCTCTAAACGCAGCGCAAAATGTTGTCAAGCCGCATTAATACTGTACTTTGGCTCGCTGTGAAACGTAATATGATGCCAGACGGGGAGTACCCACTAGGCGCAACCATAGATACTTTCCACGAGAGATGATACCCTGCTCGATACATTTGACGTTCGATCCACGAACAAGATTCCCGAACATATGTGCAGGACGCCATCCGACGACCTCGACTCGTTGCCGAGCATGTCGATCAGTTCGCAGCCGTACTCCCCTAGCAGGCTTCACCTTTCGTCTCTTGTGGCTCGCTCGCTCGCTCGCCCGCTCGCTTGCTGTGCTCTGGGCCGTGTCGTGTTGCTCGTCATCTTCTTCCGACGATGATAGCCTTCCTTTACGTAGACCGAGATCTCGCATTGACGACGACATCTTCCCGATGCGGGCTCTCGCTGGGTTCGAAGCCAAAATAAATATGAGTAAATTATAAGGGGCCCGGGATGGCTCCAAGGCTTTGATGGAATATCGACGGATTTTATTTCCCCGATGTATTTCCCGAGAATAATTCAATATGTGATAATTCTGCTGTAAAAATAATATTAGGGACTGTACAATCAGATCTCATACCGTACTGTACCCTGAACGCGCCGAGGTATGTATGCTGTCATTATACGGTCACGCCAAAGCCGCAGTCAGGGGAGAGATTTTCATGGGATTAAAACATATTTTATTGGGGAAAACCCCTTTTAGGAGATTTAATAAGTTCGAAGAGAGGGGCCGCAGGAAATGCCCGCCTCTCTCTCCTGCATTGTGCGTACGAACCAGGAATCGATGATTATGGTGCCAATGCAAAGATTGCTGCAGCAGCAGCTGGTGCTGGTGCTGCTAGAGGGAACTGATCGGCCTACAGTGGGGAGCTACATCCGCATCCACTCGGAAACCCGGCAGCAGCGAGCATGACAGTGGGCGAGCTAGTGGAGAGGAACGCCACTCAGCTAGCGATCCCTCCCGGATGGTGGACATTCAAATGTTTGGCGGCCTGTCTGGCGTGTTTCGAAATCCGCCATTACGCAGCAGCAGGAGCCATCAACATCGTTCATGTGGCTCCCAGGGTTCGTCTGCACCACTAAGTATCTGGGCCTCACTAAATAAGGTCTCCCGTCTCCTCTCGCCTCCTCGCTGGCGTCTCGCTCTGCAGACATTTCAAGGTCCGAGCCGAGGACTGTCTGTCTGATTCGGGATCAAGGACGATCTTTAATGGAGGCATCGAGTACCTCTCCTTCATGAGTACAGTACTGTTGTATGTATTGAGATGAACTACAGACTGTAGTGAGTGCGCAGTGCGCAGCAGATCGATCTTCGCTTCTGTGGTCGGTCGTCCGTCTCCAATTGGTAGTGCGTACCTCTCCCTCGCTCTCTAAATCCGTTCCTTCTCACTCAATTCTGAACTCAACAGTCCCATGATTGTCTGCCCTGTGGCAGTTCAGCGCCTTTTGGGCGTAATTCGTTACGACATCCGAACATATGCAAAGCTTCGCTAGCCGCGAGCCGCGACCTCGCTGCTGTAGATTCGTAGCGACGAAGCACGATGATAGCAGGCAACATCATTCCGGTACACCGTAGAGGAAAGACAGACTGGATGATTTTCACTCGAGCGGAACAGCTGGAAGGAGCGAAGAGGAGAGTCGCCTTTTGAGGGCGAGGGACGAACATGTCAACAGTTCAGCTGACTCCGAGTTCTTGATGAGGTCATCTGCCACTCTCACCTTTCCCTCACCCGACTGTAGACGACAATGGGCTTTCCCATAGGCCCATCTGCCAGTGTGTCCTAGACTTTCCTCCCTAGCTGCTCACGGTGCCACCACGCACAGTTTTCTTCTTTCGACAAAACCTGTCAGGCCGTGGTAGAGAAAAGGCCAGCGGCGAAAAGTCCTAGCAGACGGATCCTGTTGCACTACCTCCACATCTGGTACGAATTCATTCTGCGACGAGGTACACGGCCTCCACTCGCATATTTTAACTTTCTACATGCTCGCTTCAATTCATTTCAAAGGCTGACACCGCCTGCGGGGGCTGCAATTCATGGATGCAGCAGGCCTCGTAAAGCTCGTTAACTGCCCTGCTCGTACAGCCCTTGATGTGATAGCAGCTGCCGTATCGAGAGCCTCTGCAGGGCCTTGTCCGCTGGCCATACAAATACTCCATATGCGATCCCGTATGCACCTGCGAATCGCACCATACGGCGGACGGGGAGTTCTTGCCATCCAGCTCCCCCGCTCTCCATGACAGCCCGAGCTCTGGTCTGAACTTGCGCCAGGGAATATATGCATCGAAGAGCCGGCCAAGTGTCTGCTCGCCTGAACGAGAGATCACCACCATACGTTCAGACACGTAATTCTTACTGTTTAAAGCAAAGCAGTCGGAAGAAATCTGCAGTCGTAGTAAACAAATCGTTTCCACCTGTCGAAAAACCCATTTCAGAGGTCTTCCTCCCGCGCTCTCGAGATCGTGTCGAGATGTTTCACGGAGGTTTCTGCAGATGGAGAAAAAACTGCAGACTTCTCACAAAGCTATTTCAGTCAAACTTTCGGCCAATCGCTTATGTGCTCAAGAGTGACTCATCCACTGCGCATTCGCAACAAATCTGATAGAGAGATAGAGAGCAAAATGAACAATCCACAGCGTTGCGAGACAGAGCGGGTGTATGAATGGATCCGTAAGAAAAATTCGGACGCGCGAGGATATACTCTTCTTATTGAATCATATGGTACAGTTTCGATTAGACAAATAATGAGCTCGTTCCTACTTTTATTCCCTCAGATCTCATCTAAACTCGTTCTAAATCTACGTGACCGACTGCTTCGAAGAACTGACTGAGTGGGAGACTAACGACGAGGTATAAGGATTGGTACATGTAAGGGATGCATCGAATCCACCTGCGAGCGAGGCGGCCAAAAAATGTGCGATCGGTCTCGTTCAGGACGTGCCCGCCGGAGGCGGAGGGGAAGAAACGAAGGGCTGCGGCGCCACGGTCGGCCCCGTGGGCACGGTCGGGGTGGGGATGACCACGGGCGCGGGCGGGGTCAGATCGACCACGGGCGGCACAGGGGCCGCGGGGCCCGGAGCCGCAGGGGTGGGGACGGTGGGAGGGACGGGGACGGGAGTGGGCGTGGTCGTCGGGGGAGGGACCACGGGCGCCGGGGGGCTGCTGACGACGGCGTTCACTACGGAGCAATTGAGCCGCACCTCGCCCTGCGAGCCGGTGAGCACGCCGGCGTTGCCCATGGCGATCATGGAATTCACGAAGTCGTTGAAGAACTGCGCCTCGTTGTTGGCGTACGTCGTAACCAGCCCGGTTGTGGTGTTGTCCACGAAGAGGATCTGGTCCGAGAACAGCAGGCCCTGGCCGATTTGCAATCGCTGGAAGTACACATTGTCGAACTGCGCCGCCGTGACCGGGTCCAGCGGCTGCAGCGTCGTCGGATTGAAGTTTCCGTTCGGACATATTCCCTGCAGCGTCGTCGCGTAGCCCGGGCTCAGACTCGGATCCGTCGCCCCGGGCACTCCATTGAACGAGTACAGCCTGTCGGTGAACTCGATGCAGTGCGAGAAGCCGACCGAATGGGCTCCTGCAAATTTCCAATCCTTGATTAGTGCTCCCCTTCCTTTCCTCTCCATTCCATTCCCACGACCTCACTTTCACTTTCTCACTGTCCCACTTTCACACTCACACTTGTGGATCGGGATTGGACAAGATCCTCGGCCTCGAGCCCCTCCCCCCCACTAAGCACTAAAACGCAATCAATTCAGAGCACTCGGCTAAAATTGCATCAAGAAGCTCAATCAAGCTCAATCAACCAATCAATCAGTCAAGAAGAGAAGCCATGTCCTGTCAGCCAGCTGGAGACAGGCAAGACTCCGCCACGAGGAAGGTAATCGGTGTCGCCATGGAGGTCTCTCTGGTATTATAACTGACTCGAGTCGACTCGAGTCGACTAGACTGGACTGGAATGGACTGTCTCACTGACTCAGTGGCCAGAATCCAGAGGGCCAAACCATCGCCATGAGGGAGGAAAAAATTCGGCCCAGGAAAAGTCAGAGTACGTGCTGGGAATGTACCTGATAGGGCGACGATGTCTTGCACTCCGAGGCCAATGTTTCCGAAAACTGCCTGCAGCGCGGGCAGGTCCATATGTGCACCTGGCAAGTGCCCTGCGACGCCGGTTGCTTGAGACGTGAGCCCGTCCCGCCTCCCCTGAAGTACGGACCACGACGGGCCTCTCATCTGCACCAGTAGACGAAGCTCAGTGAGTCCGAAAGGCACGTGGAAGCGAGGGGACGAGGGTCAGAGCTCGGAGTGGTTAGCTGAGCTGAATTCAAACCCGATGCTCGAATCCGCATTTCTGTGGGAAGGTCAGGCAGTTCTTGAATTCGAATCGTCTCGCCCGCTGCGTGCGGATTCCATCATCGTCTCACCTGATTCACGACGACCTCGGCCGCCATAGCTATGATGTCCGCGCAGGAGACGATCCCCGGGCACGCTTGCTCCAGAGCCAGCTTGGCTTGATTGATCGTGTCGAACGCTAGTTGTTGCAAGGATTGATTGTCCCCGGCATTCTTCTCCACGTTCCCGACCGGATCCACCAGCATGATCGAGGCATCGCAACCCTGCAACACATGATATGAAGGTGGGCAAGTGAGCAAACGGCAGGGGACTCGAGACTCGACTGCAATCGGATGGAAATTTCACCTTTGCACTATCCTCTACACTCTACACCTTCCTTCTCCTGGAGTTCATAAAGCCATGGCCCATCATCCATTCCTCGGAGATGTGCAACCGCTGATCGACAGTCCCAGGGTATGCAAATTGTCGGCCAAAGCATTGCCTGTGAACGCGAGTACGTCTTCTCCTGGAGTCGGAGCCATGGCTGGTTGATCATCCTCCACACCTCGAGGGATGGGTGAGCACAGATGAAAGCACTGTGACATAATCTCCAGATGCTGAAAAACGACCTTGACCTCGGACCCTAGTACACGTAACATTTCTGTTCCCGGGAAAAGTGCCCTTGCATCTGCTGCGGTGCAGATCAATGCAAAATTTGTTTAGTGATGGTGAGGAGCATGGACTTACATTCACGAAGCAGTCATGAGCGAAGAGGCGCAGCACACTGGGTCCCACGATTTGCGAAGCCTGCATCCCGGCGATCACTGTGGCCCTCACTATGCTGTCCGCATTGGGGCAGCTCGCAGCATAAAATCCGGCTTGCAGTTGAGCATCCAGCGATCCAAAAAACAGAGTTCCCACCAGCGTCCACAAAATTACGAGTTCCCGGCCTTTCATTCCTCCCGTTGTGTGCGAATTTCAGAACCTGCTCTCGGATGAAAATTCGGTCAGCGGAAGTACAGAAGGATTTCAAAGTGCCCTCCACCTTTTGATAGCTTGCTGGTTGGCTGCACTCCTGGCTCGATTGCCGGTTGGATGGATGGATGGCTCGCTGCTCTTCCACAGTTCCTGTCTCCCCTGATTTTCCGAGCCCTGCCTGTGTGAAATACGCCCGTGAACAACCCTATTACACCGGGAAGCCGGCAAGATAATGCACCTAACGATCGAACACTTCTTGGTGCGCGTCCTCTGCTCCCTTCTCGGTATAATGAAGCTGGTTTCCAGAGCCAGCGTGCAGTGCAGCTCAGCTCGGCTCAGCTGGATGTGCGCACATTCACAGACTGGTTTTTCTTGAACTCTGACAGTCAGCACCTTCTCAGATTTCGTCGAGGTTGTGAATACAGTCACTCTCGAGATGCGATCGCACGCACAGGCCGTCGAGCCAGGAAAGAATAGCGCCTCTTCAACCAGAAATGGAGAGACATTCAGCAAGTGTGAGAATGTGGACAGAAGTGAAGGTCCAGTCCTGGCATTGGACTGCCTTTACCCTAAGACAGCAGAGGAAGAAAGCTCTCGCTTTTCTCGTACGAGAGTAGGCCAGTGATCCAGCAGACTGGGCGAAACAAACAGTTTGGAGAATGAGTGGCGAGTGGGTGCGTGCATGCGGTGCGCTCAGCTCAGCTCAGCTGAACTCGACTCGACTCGACTCGCTCAGCCGAAAGGTATCCAACAGCTCAGACAGTAGATGCAAATGCTTAGCTGCTCTGGGCACGCAGTCAGAAGCTGACGTGATGAACAAGCTGTGCACAGATAAAAATGTCCAGCATCTTCCAATGTCGAGCGACGAGACACTAGCAGCCTCAAATATTTGAGCTGGTCTGCGGTGGAGAAAGATCTAGACAGAATGCAGCAGCAGGATCAGCAGCATTAGCGATGGATAGCTGCAGTGCAGGGATACAAGGACAAGAATAAAGAGAGGGAGGGGGAGAGGAAGAGAGAGAGTGTGCGAGAGGTACACGCAGACACAGATAAACACCTAAGCTCGGTTTGGTCTCGTATACATACACCTTAGCTCGAACCCAACCCAGGCCCAGCTTCAGCAGGGGAAGAGCGAGGAGGGAGGCAGGCAGGCGGTCTTGCTTGGGACCGTGTGGTGAGAGAGAGAGAGAGAGAAGAGAAGGAAAGGTGTGGAAGGAAGGAGAGCGTGAGACGGGAGCGGCACTTGCTGCGAAGGACGACGGGAGGAGAAGGGGAAAATATTGGAATCAGGTGGCGAAAGGAGAAGCGAGCAGCGGAGCAGGAGGGAGAGTATGCGGTACAGGGACCTCAAGCTCCACCAATCCTGCCAAGGTCGCAACCGCAATGCTGCTCTGAAAGCACAGCACAGCGCAGCTCACAGCGCACAGCACACACAGCACACCGAAGCCAAGCAATCAACCGCAAGCTCTGAGCGGCGCCTGTGGCAGTTCGAGTCCAGTCCAGTCCAGACCGGTCCTCAGCAGAGCCGCGCAGATCAGAGTCGTCGATGCTGGCGAGGGGCGGGAGGCAGGCAGAGGCGGTGCAGAGGGGGAGTCGCAGCAGCAGGAGCAGCCAGAGGAGGGAGGGAGGGAGGGAGGGAGGGAGGGACGGGACGGGACGAGACGGAGAGAGCACCGAGGGAGGGAGGGAGGGAGGGGGAGGAGGAGGGGGGGAAGGGGGCAGCTGCGCATTGAATGCCGAGGGGACTTCGTATAATATAAGAACCGGGCTACTATCAACGCACAGCGCAGTCCGACGTCACCGTCCACGTGGACTGCCAAATCGGACGGGAACGTCACCATGCAGCGAGTTACAGCTGTGCGATTTACTCCCTAATACGGATCTTAAAGCCTCAATGAGCCCTGCAACTCGAGTAATGTAATCAGGGTCAGCGCTTTGACTCCTGTCCTTTTGCCAGTTGTCTTTTCGAGTTAAGCGAGCGCGGGGTAGAAGTTTAGATATTTTCCCTCCCGACCGCGGGCAGTCACTCCACCGGCTGCCCCGGTTCCCTTCCTCCCCTGCCACCTCCTGTCAGACCTCTCTCCCAATGATGCTCCCTTTGCTCATCCGGTCACGAGCCCCACGCCGGCCTTCCTCACTCTTGCACCACCCCCCAAACCCCCTTTCCTCCCTCAGCTTTCATCTCTCTCTAATCCACCTTCTTCCTCTTCGGTAAACATTCCTCTCATTCCGCCGCAGCTGCTGCTGCTGCTGCTCTTCTGCTGCTGAGGCTGCTGTGAATGAGTTGTAATAAAAACTTTGGGACGACTGCATGCTTGCGCTACTCTATCCATCGCGCCGAGCTTGTTCGATTCACGAGATTCATAGCTCATCGGATCTTCAGCTTCATAGGACAAACAAAGTTCGGCTCAAACATTCTTCTTCCCCTAAGCCTCGTCTCCTTGTGTAGCGGAGTGGCATAGACCTCACGCCCTCTGATGCTGTTGGTGCGGAATGTAGTGCGGAGGAGAGGAGAGTGGAGTGTAGTGAGAAAATTGGAGGGAAAGTGCATGGCAGAATATGTTGGATGTAACTCCAATGGGATGGGATTGATTGGTTTTGCCATCAGAATCTCAGTTTCAGATCCTTCATGTTCACAGGACTATATTAATGTTCAAGATCCCCTAGAGCCTCGTTGTGTAGGTGGGAGTCAATGACCTCACTCTCCCTCTCTCACTCTGTCTGATGATGTCTATGTGGAGTGCGGACAGACGAGGGGAAACTGCATGTGATGTGTTGGAAGCTCTCGGCTCAACTCGGTAGCCTGATTCCATGTCACATGCCAAATTTGTCAACCTCGACGCAACAACAAACGCGAGGTGAGATTCCACTTTCCCCCATGCTGGGGAGTGTGTGACATACACCTCCATTTTTGGTTGCTGATAAGTGACAAGACCCGAGGGAGACTGCATGCATGCAGATGATCTCGAGACCACGAGACCTCGAGCCCGAATCGTAGTGCGCACTTTTCAAGTTTGAGAGCAGGATAGGTTTCGTTGGAGTCTACATCAAATAGGTTGACGTTTTACATCGAGCTTCATAACCGAAGCATTTTCCGATTCTTCAGACAAATACAACTCCTTGTGGGGATTCTTGTAGCCAAAAGGGAGGACTACTAGACGTCATGGCATAAAGAGACCAAAGCACACACGATAAAGTTGCGAAACGTGAAGAGATTCGAGGCCGAGAAACTGGAATGTCATAAATTTTCCTCTAGAATGTAAATGAGTATTACATAGGGCACTTTACAGTTCGTTCTCGAGGAAAAAGTCTCCCACCGTCTTCTCAACAATAACATGAATGGAAAGGCGGAGCTACCGGAAAGGGAGGAAGATGTTGAGCTGTTGGTTTATGCCTTAATACGTTTGTCGATGATCCCACAACTCCACCATTATCATCATCTATGCTTCAAATGATTGGGCAAGTGTCAAGGCGTTAAAAGCGCAAGGAATAAATCTCGGAAGAAATTAAAATTTACTTTCAGTTGCCCCGAGAGCAAGCGGCGAGGAGAAGTATTTGCGGATGTTGTTGTGTCTGTCGTTATGGCTGATATCGAAGGGTAAAGAATGGAGCAGCTCCGGAATATGCAACCCTCTGATGCTGCTGTTGTAGGTGGAACGAAATGCTGACGAGGAGGGGGGAGATTGACGTCCATTATCATAATGGGCTCGACTTGTATTTAGTATCTCGCAGTGGTCCATACCGGCCATGCCAACACTTTCCCGAACGGCATTGCAGCAGCAAAGTGTTTCACATCGACCACGATTCTGATTCCGCATATTTCTGCGTTTGTATCGACGCTGGAATAGAAGAGAATAAAATTGATACACCATACGTTAAAACTGCAGAAAGGGAGCAAAAGTGGACTTCAATGCCTCATGATTTTTATTGTTGCCACCTAGAACTCCAAGTTCCTCTAGGTTTTAAAGACTTTTTATTCAAAGATGTTGTCTCTTTTGCGAAGGTGATGACTCATACGTACATTTCTTTGGATTTTGAAGTTTGAGTGCACGCAGTCCAAATAATGGTGTCCTTAGAATACACATGCAGTTGTATATGATTGTATAGCTATTGACGTCTTTTACCCTATGATCCAAAAAACATGTATTGTCAAAAGAATTGTGCTTCTTCAGGTGTGTTCATGTGTTTCCAATGCTCTGTAAAGAGCAGTAGATGGTGACAATTATTTATTATTATTCAGCTTCGATCTAAAGTTAATTCCTCTGAATTGTCTTCTTAGATCGTTGTTATAAACAAGAAAGTTCAGTACCCTTAGTACAATATGTTATTCAAATCTTTACATTTCAAAACTATTGTCTCCTTTTAGCCTTGTTAACCACACGCTCACCATAAATGCAGGGAGACTATAATATTTCGTGCACATTCTTTGCACGATAATTGCTAAATTTTATTATGGAATATCTTCATCGTGCTTAAAGAATGTAAGAACGCATAAGTTTGTTTGGGACCAAAGCATGGAGTCAATCCTTGCTCTCCACTATCCCCTACAGCCAACAAACATAAAGGGGGTCTTTTGAGGTTAATGGACATCGTGAGTTAAAGAAGACTCATTCCTTGCAGTAGCTGCGAAAAGTCTCGAAATTGCAAGACTCAACAAAGATAAAGCTATTTCTAGTCTGAATGCACTCATGATGAACAACATGAGCAAGCTTAACAGCCGTCTCTCGTACAAGTGGCGGGTGCTGCTCCATGGCCTTGTCCAGAACGAAATGCTCGTAAGAGCTACTGTCTCTAGACTGGAACGAACATCGTCCAAAGTAACAACACATCGTGCTGGCGCTACACAACTAGTGCCTTGTGGACGATATTCTAAAAATCCTGCAAGTTCGATCTTCTGATCTTTAGAGTGCGAATCCTCGTGCACCAGTATCTTTTTTGTGGCTCGTATATTCATGAGATACTTGCCCAACAACCCTCTTGTCAAATGTGACTAAACATTCTAAGAGTATCTCTCGATGTTATATCTAGACGACTTTGGTTGCATATTCTGAAACCCCTGGTCGTGATCTCAGACATGATACAATGGTCCTCCCCGAGGGGTGGAGTGATGGAGCACATCAGTGAACCTTACCAAAAGCCTGACATAATGTATGGAAAAATGAATGCTCTTGCCCTTACCGAAAAGTTCTCTCAAATCTAATATGATCTGTGTACCTAGAGCAAGAAAACCAGTAGGCGAGATGGTACGGTGAAAAGTATACATAGCAGCAGCAGGTCTACTCGTATATATATAAGCCAGAGTCTACATCGAGGTTATATGATTCCACGTCGGAGCTCTAAGCAATGTCGCGAGGGAGTCGGGAGCATATAGTTCGTCGAGGTGGGTTCAGAGCCACATGCGAGCGAATAATCATGCTCGAGGAAGGCATACGGTGTAGGCACTACAGAAAGGGCAAAATGGCAATGGCCATGGCACGGCTTGACATTCTCGTCTTGTCGTGCTGGAGAGAATGATGGTTGCCACCTTTCTGGCAATTCTCTCTACCTATGTATGCCCCAAGACCCGAGCGAGCGAGCTGAGCTGAGGTGAGGATGGGCGCTGGGCTGGAATTGTGGCTGCCTCGAGAGCGAGGAGAAGGAAAGGCACCACCACACCTCGGTGCTTCTGGAGCAGTGGGGACCACGGGGCCGTAGGTAGAGGTAGCCCTGCTGCTGCCTGTGGGACAGCCGCAATGCGATGGGGGGAGGGGAGGAGGGGGCGAGAACGAGAAGCCTAGGCTAGAGGCCTCGGGGCTCAAACTGTCACCACTAGTGGAGGCAAGACGGGCACAATTTCCATCCTTTTCCACGGGAAAAGGCGAGCGGCGCAGTGGATTTACAGCAAATGCCGCCTTGCACCATTTTGTCCCATTGCGCCTTTCCATATGGGAACCAGCTCATATTCTTATCCTCGGTCCCGGCCGGCCAGCCAGGTCCAGCGACCGCGGTCAGCGCCCCATTGGGTCGGGGTTGGGTTCGACCATCGACGTGGTTACATTTCTGACTAGACCAGTTTCGGCGCAGGTCGTATGCGGCACCCGGAAGACCGACGCCGAGGCCGAGGCCGGGACCGGGACCAACCACCTACTCCGCCGGTCGTATCTCAACTGCTAGACCGGCCATACACGTCGCTTAAGATATAGTATCACCTCAATCATCATTTTCTTCTTCTTCTTCGTTGCTCCCCCTCCCGAAGGATCCCCATGGGCCCCGAGCGAGGCCTCCTTTTCCTCCTCCGCCTGGAGGCGCAAGCAACTGTTTTGTGAGGTGGGTACGACGAGGCCCCTTTCGCGATCTTGCCTTTTTTCGTACGTGCTTCCAACATGATAATGATGATGATGATAATGATTTAGAGCTGCGTCTTTCTCTTCAGGGAGGATGGTTTTACTCCGAGTGACAGCGGCTGGCTTCAGTTTGGAGCCTTTTGTTTGCGAAGGAAGTGTGTGTTCCAGATTCAGATGCAGAGAAATCGAATTATTTCGTTACCTTGTCGGGTTTGGCTCGACCGACCATGTTCTTCAAATCTGGGCATGTTCGAATTCACGGCCTACGAACTTGAATTATGCCTCTTAACCCGTCTCCATATGGACAGTTAAACTATGACTTTTGATCCGTTTTCACAATGGCACGTGTATTCCCACCGCCGCTTAATGTTTTGGACAGGTTCCTCTGCCTTGAGTTCAGACTCCTTGTGTACTTGTCATGAGAAGGTTTGCCGTCTCGTGACATCTGCAATTGGAATACTTCTTCCTCACCTCATGTGAGTTTCCATACAAGATACGGAAAAAGCACATAGCAACCTCGGTAATCATTGCTGTCACTGTGATATGTATTTGCCCCAAACTTGATATCTTTTATTTCGACAAAATCTTGTGCAGTACAGGTGAAACCTGGTTAGTCATTAGCCATAATCTTCACATACTGCCTTACAAGTCTTATGAATCTTCCTTTCGGAAATAACCAGTTCGCTGAAAAGCGCAACGCCTCACTTCTTGATCTCTCATTGTGCTGCACCTTGTTAGGTAGCTTAGGGGTAGCGTATTGCTCGTTAGTTCTGCTAAACGGTTCTAAAGCATAAACGGTATGATCAGAGCTTTACGAACAGTATTGCAAAGACAAAGACATTCGTACACATCCTCCCTTATGGGTCGAATACTCGGAGAAATCTGAAGCAACAATCATTTCCAACCTTGTCTCTGAAATAAAAGACTGACTAGTTTGATTGCTCATAAAGATGCTCGACATTAGTTGGACCTTGAAGCCCGTTATTGAATTGACATCATAGAGGATCATGGGAGTCACAAAACGTTGGAGGCGTACCTTGAGACATCTACTGACAAATGCTAAGCCCAGACACCGAAGTTCTGTGCACCCGGCAGAGGCACGTAATGCACGGCATAGCCATTCACGTGCCTCTGCCAGCTCACCTTCTTCAAAATCATAAAATCTAAGACACTCGACACTTCTTCATTCAATAGCATCCAGTAACAGGCAAATAGCCATCTGAAACGTAAAAGCATAAGACAAGCAAAAGAACGCGACGGTAAACAATATGGACTCCTCTATGATTTCTCTCCACTATCTACATTTGCTTCTGTCTCTATAATTATGAGTCCAAAACAGACAACTGTGCACAACGCAGCCTCAAAAAACAAGCTGATCAGTGTCCATCGTAATTGTGCTTCAAGTGCTCTTGCTTCCTGCAAAAAGGCACAAGTTGACGACTATCGACCGAATTTGCTAATCTCAGCGTTTTGCCGGTCTGTCTTCAAAATGCTTGTCCATTCGAGGCCCAAGCACAGTTGCAAGGTCTATGATACAGAAAAGGTCCATGGTTTCGGACTGAGCTATACTTGAACTGCGAGAATTTTATTACATATTACTACTCATAGGAGTAGGTTCCACATCTTTATCGGAATGGATCATACCCATCAAGGGTCTTCTTCGTTCGATTGATCAATTTAAAAGTCTCCTCGGCTTCCACCAGGCGACGTGGATCTGCATCTAAAACTCGATCCGGATGGAACTTTACAAGCGCACGCTTGAATGCTGCATTCACCTATAACACAAACATGCACTGAATTCAGGCCAAGTTCCATGACAGACCTCGGTATATGCTTCCAAACCTTCCAGTACACCTAAACAACATACCGGAAGTCGGGAGAAGTACGCAGCACCTAGAAAGGAGAAAGTCTATCACGATTATCCACGTTAAAATGAACTCCAGTTTAACCTAGCACAACAGGAGCTTCCGCATCCGCCTTCGCGTAGCAATATCATTCAGAAAGGAAGCAAATGAACATGATCAAACCTGCTGATCCGAGGGATTATTTCCTCCATCGACGATGACGCCAAGACGACGCAGAAGACTAGCAAGATCCGAACACCTGGAGGCTAGATTCTCCAACCTTTCTCGCACCTGGCCTCGTAGCTGCTCCCTTTCATCCATATCCTTTTCCGCCTGGATTCAAAATTTCAGACAAACTTTCCTAAATAAGATACTCTTGTGAGTTACACTAGGTTGCTGGGATTTTGACCCAGCTCTAGATTGTAATCCAGGAGATGAAGTATACGGACTTCAAAAAAAGAAACTTGCTCAAGCAAGACATTGATCTACCATCTCTTCCAACGTAAAACCTACCAAACTAAAATGTCGTGTACGCTCAGTTTCGGAGGCTACTTGATTTGAACTACCTGCCGCATCCAAAATTTACTCCAGGTCCAGCGGGTACTAGCGTGGGAGGAGGGCAGATTGGGGTGTGTGCAGGACGAATGCATAGGTGTAAAGGATTGTAATTCGAAGTGTTGGGGAGCTATTAGCTCCAATGTCAAGACGAACTGTCTAAAAAGCCAAAAAGTATCCAATCAGAAGTGAAGAGTAAACACAGAGCAGAACTTAATGACAGGAAACACAGGAAACATGAGTAGCCGAATGTGTAAAGACTTCGGACGCAATGTCTAACCTACAAATCTGTCCTAGACACAATTATGTGGTGTGCCAAAAAGCAAGGGGAGAAACGAAGGAGAGCTGAACGGAGCAGGTCAAGGAGCACAATTACACTACGTGGACTTCATTCAAGTCTCATCTTGACGACTAAATAGTCGTCAAGATGAGACTTCCACTCAAATAGTGGGCAATGACGTCCGACAAGTTGACAAAGCGCGAGAAATAAGATGTATGTAAAAACATCGAATGGGTTCCAGGAAGGAACGAAAGCGAAGATTCATTGAAAAGGGGTATACCTTGGAATGTCAAAAAATAACATTTGAAGATTTTCCTTTTGAAACTTAACAAGGATATTAATAGGAAGGGAAAACTTTCAAAAGATGACATGTCCGACACAAATGTCGAGCATTTGATCCAACTGCGGTAGAGAGCGTTCTTTCAAACGTGGAACATGAATGAGGGTTGTCGGGCTGAGAGGTTGCAATATATACGAATGTACATGGGTACGCACAAAAAACTACGGTTTACTTCACAAAAGTACGCACTTGAAGTAATGTAGAATGTAAAGACCCCATCAAGTCGTACATGGATGAGACCAAATGGTTAGAACAAAAGAACGAGATTAGATGCCACCTCCAGCAGCCGACTTTTCGAAACAAAGACGAGAAAGGTCCGATCACAACTAGTTTGTCGTCAGCAAGAAGATTAACAGGGAGTATAAGAGAGAAAAGCACTAAGAACCTGCATCGAAGCGGCGGTTATAAAATCATTTCGAAGTTTCCGCAATAACTACAGAAATACAAAGTGGCTACATAGAGTTCCTGCAATCTCTTGATATAAATAAGGACCGCGTGAAATGAAGAGGTTGGCAATGGGCTAATCAAGCCAGAGACGGGTCAAACATCGTTCTTCTTTATTGAGAAAGCATAAATTGTTAAATATGTACGAAGGGTGTTTCAAACAGACGGTATAATATTGATTGATGTACTTTAAATTTCAAATCCAAATAAGATGCGGCCAACGTTTGAATTATCAACAGCTCTTCATACTGAGCTTACACGACTTTAAGCTAAACTTCACAAGTTCTCTCATTCTGTAGTTAGAAGTAGACTTTCTCTCATGTTCTGTTGCTGCCATTCCCTAACTGTACTACCTACCAAAAGTAGATACCAATATGACAAAAAGAGAGACTCCAGACGGACTCTCACCTGTACAAACCTCCATAAACGTTAAACTGCCTTCTCAAAGGATACACATGAGAATAACTGTGCTCGTTATATGTGCCTGTGAAAGCCTCAGCTGTGCGGAGAGTTAATTTGTGGGAAGAATAAGACAAATAGACATTGTCAGGGTTGCTCTTCGTATGTGTAGATAATATAGCTTTAAATTTCTACAAAGCACTCAAGAGATAAAGTACACAGCTCAGGCAGGAACAGTAAGGAAGTAAACACCACTACCTACAGCGTTCTCCAATTATGAATATCAAGAAAAATCTGATACTGATGCCATACTGGCTCATACACAGAACACAGCTTTGAAAGTAACATAACTGACAGCTGAGCATTGAACTCTATCGGCGGATGAGCTCCGTGAGAAGAGATTCAGACCAAGGAGCCTAAAACGATTGCTTGAACCAAGAGGAAAAAAAACTTCCTTAAGTCTTGGTAAAACGACGTCAACCACTGTAGAAGATCTAACACCATGGAATAAAAAGAAGTAGGAAGAACCGGAAGGTACAGTTACTTTCGAGTGAGAGCAGTGAAGCAGTCAGAAATATTGTGCTATCAACTTGTACCCATAAAATACAGTGAGAGAATCGACCGGAAAGTTTCAGCCGAAGGCGATTGAGTGGCCGAGTCTCAACTCACAGTAAGAGGATAAGACCACAAAAATATACTAGAAATGCAAAGAAAGCTTTTGCAAGACGACGTCTGAGCGCGATAGCCATTAGCAGGCATGTAAATTTCGGGCCTAGGAAAACAGAGCAGAGGAGAGAATGAGAGTGCAGGCATTGCAATGAATGTATACAAAGCTATGATGAGTTAGAAAAAACTTTTTTGTTCTCATGGCATGCTTCGTTCCTTATAGACAAGGAGATCGCACATAAGGTTGATCCGTGTAAAGGTGTAAGACACCAAGGGTATAATGAACATCGGAGGCTGTGCAAAAAGAAACTGTAGCTACCACAACGATACCGTTGAGTTAGAAAAAACTTTTTTGTTCTCATGGCATGCTTCGTTCCTGATAGACAAAGAGATTGTAGTGTACTTAAAGCTGATCCGTATAAAGGTCTACGACACCAAGGGAATAACAAACATAAAGGCTGTGCAAGAACAAACTGAAGCTACCGGAAACAATACCTTTTACCCCAAGTATATCCTACGTTCCACAATCCAGATCAACGACCAGTAAGCTGAGATGAGCCGGAGAACAAAGCATATGCACGAAGAAGGAAGACAGTAACCGGCAGGATTCCTGGCCTCCTTTGTCGACTAGGGATCTTGTCAAGGCTTATAAGAGCAATCGATGATATCGAGAAGATGATACAATACAGCGGACTTCAGATAGAAAGATCAACTGAACACTACAATTGTAACCTATGACGAGCCATGAACAAAGCTTGAGTGATACCATACTTTCATCTGATTCTGCCGCAACTCTTGCACACGCTGCTTTTGCTTTCTCTCCATTTCTAGTTTCCGATCCGCCTCAACCCTTTTCCTCTGCCGCAATTTTTGAGCTTCTAGTTGCTGTGATCACCATGAGCAGAGTCAGGGTATGTTCCTCGGACCGTCAAAGCTCGTCAGACGAGGAAACACTCTTGAGACAGCAACAAGCTTTTGCTTGTATTCAATATTGTAGGCTAGGACTTCCCATACATTAAAGTCCAATATTTTTATGCGCAGTACCTATTTCGAGCACTGTGGGTCGAAACCAGAAAAGAAACCCATGATCTTTGTCGCAAATGGAAAATAATGATCTAGGCAGTAAGGTGAATGCAAGATAGAACCCTTCAAGACGTAAGGAAATGACGTAAACTCAGACATCGATACATTCACACTTACACGACTCTAAATGAAAGAAGATGTTTTTACTGATCAGCTCTAAGTCACCATAACATTGTGGTGAAGACCGGATGATACATCAGTCACAAGCCAACTGGCAAGGTCAATACATGAACATCTCAAGATAATGGTACAAACTACACAAGTTGACACTAACCAGGAACGATGACAAGTATGATAGTGACCATCAACCTCTGTAGAGAGGACAAAAGAGATCTTTCAAATCGCAGTAAAAACTGTATTGAACATCATAATTGTCCTGTTTGGGCTGATCACAAAGCCCTCTTGCGGTGATCATTAAACAAAAACGTTTTCACACATGGTGATATAGAAGTATGCACAGCGAATAATCTCAGAACTACCAGGCAGAAGTCAGATCGAAGCCAAAAGAAGATCAATATAATGAAAAGGAAATACTTTATCCACACGAGATGAAAGACAATGTGCGTAAAAAAGTTTATATCGTTGTATCTGAACGGTACTTGACCTGCCGTTGAAGCTCCTGTTGCCGAGAGGCCCACTCTTGTTCATCTGCCTGCATGAACTCTGGAGTCTGCTTTAGTCTTTCCCTTAGGGCTATCAAGTCTCCATCAGCAACCTCAGCATTATTTCGTCTGAGCTCACTTGCAGTTGGAGTTCGTACATCCATACTGCTTGATGGCTCCAGTCGGCTGCTCTCATGCCCATTTTGTTCTTCTAGGGGGAATCCAGACTGACTTTTACCACCATTCACCATATTCAGATGGTGGTTATCCCCTTCATTGGCTTCTGTGCTAGGGGGGAAAATGTCATTCTTGTTCAGAGTCTCATTCAGTATTCTACCTTCCGATTCTGGAGCTAAAGTGGCCCCAAACTGGCCGTCGATCGGATTTACAAATCCCTCTGCACCACCTCTTGCCTCCGAAGATTCTGCAGTAGAATCGGGACTATCCCTGTAAGCTGACGTGGCGACGCTCTCAGCCAGACCTTCAGACTTAGCACCTGAAGACACAAAGCTAGGTAAGTATTGTTACTGACAGCAATCAAGAACCACCAAAACTCCCCTTCTCAGATCATGAAGAGCTTCTCTCAAAATCAAATATCTCTGATGAGCGGGGATCTAGAAGAACGAAGTGAGGAGCCAGGACAGATCAACCACTATCACATCATAAGCTGGACTAATCGCAGTACTAAGCTGCACTAATTGCGGGAAATCAGAGTGGTTCCGGCGACAATATCCTCCATTAGGAGCTTCAGGGCTGTTCCATATGAACACCAGAGTAAGTTGTAGACCAGTAACTATTGGTCGAACGACACCATAGGAGGCCACAGAACGGATAACATAACGCGGTCAGTGGCATTAACACTACAGAGTAATGTATAACAAGCTTATTAATTAATAAAGAAGGGCTATCAGGAGGCTGCGATCTGGAGGTCAGATTTCCTTACCGTAGTTACGAAGCAATTTATACTTCGTATCACGAGGGAATGTGAAACGCACTATCCTATAGCGGTAGGTACAAATTTACTCTGGAAATGCCAGGCAGATTCCAAAGTATAGCATCGAATCGCTTGAGTCTTGAACAGTATAGAACAGCAAACAACTACTGCTAATTGGCAACCCAAAAGTCAAGAGATTTTTACCAAGAAGATTAAATAACTGGAAACAGAGGAAAACGTGATCAGACAAGGTCATCAAGATCTCGAGCCAGTATGGGAGGTAACGCGGCCAACAGTAGGCTCGTCTGGCGATAAAAAGCGTTTCCACAATCACCACGGTATGGCACCGACCACTTGCATGCGACATTTTTCTTGAGCGGTGTCGTGCTTAAGTCCTGGAAATATACCAAGGAGCAGGTTTCATGTTCCGACCGATAATGAAGGCTCCAAAGCATAATCCACATAAAAATCGGTATGAATGGAGTGAGCAAAAGTATGCAAGGAAGATACGTGGTTCAATACTTTATACGCAGAGAAAACGCAAAAGTACGATGTGAGTATCTAGAGAATGATATCGCAGGAGTTTATGTGGTGGATGAGGGGAAAATTCACTAAGACTATACATATAACGAAGTAGCTGGAAAGCTCACTATAGAACAGCTCCTGATAAACTATCAGGTAACAAGTATGAAACAAAAGGGGAACAGACTGTCACCAGAGAAAACGTTAATCTTAGCGTGCACCCGGATAGTTACTTTGCACAAATCGAACGAAATAGAAAGAATCACTCATCCACTAAGAGAGCCACGTCATGGCGTGTAGAAGAATAAAGGAGACGATACCCTGCAAATTCATGTTACACATCTTAAAAACTCGCTTGAATCCTAGGTAAAACTAGACCTAATAAAAATGAAAAGTATAATCACTTCTTCTATAAACTTTATCGTTTACAACGTTCCCCAGAGGGTCGTCTTCAAACCTGAAGCTCACAAGGTCATCGGTCGGCACCAGCAACCTATATAAGAGTCTTGATCATGCTGCACTTAGTTTTGCTTGTAAGGCGCTCATTAGTTACTTGTAGACAGTAAGCCATACTTTGAATTTGAAGCTTAGTCTAATAACGACATCTCACTGGCACTTGCCCGTCATAGCCTCAAGAACATGACCTTGTGAGGAGATAAAGATAAACCCGTCCATATTCGTAAGAAAAGTGTACAAGATTACACAGCAGAGAGCTGACTCACAACTGTGATGAGTCAACGTGAATCTGTGCCAACAGGTGGAGAAAAACAATATGTACTCAATTTACTCAACAAGTTGTTCGTTTCCGATTCATACCTTCAGCCAGATCGAGATCGGCAGTTGCCTCACGCTCCCCATTGACCTTGGATCCAGCGCTTTTCATTGCTCGTCCCATCCTCCTCCTCATGGCTGCTTCCTCCCAACCTCTTTGAATTTCGCTATGAATACCGTCATCCACTTGGACGTCGGAAGAATCACTGTCCTCGCTCCTGTCATCGTCACTATCGCTGTCATCGTCCTGGCCTTCGCTATCGGCTCTGTTTCTTTGCAGCCCGTGAGTACTGTTCTTAGGGTTCGATTCTCCGACTATCTGACAGTCATCAGAATCGCTCTCCTCATCTGGGCTGTAGGACGCGGAAGTAGACTGTGAAGTGGACCTCCTCAGTCCATTTCGAGGAACAGACGGCCTCGTAACAGGCTTTGTGCCCTTGGTGGAGCTACCATCACTTTCGTAAGCATTCATTTCCAAGGGTTCATCGTCGCTATCTTCAACTTCGATTACCTCATGTGGGTAACCATTCCTAGATCTCGGTTCATCGTCTTCTGAGGAGAGATCAACATGCTTACTGGATTCCTTCTCCTCGTTTATTCTGCCTTCATCCCTCCTCCCGGCAGAAGCCTCCTCGAATTCATCACGCAGATGATTATCCTGCCCAGTTTCCAAACCCAGCAGATCACAAATCTGCTCGGCTACATCCAAGGGCCGAAAGGAAAACTCCCCAATTTCGTCTGGTACATCCGAAACCAACACTCTTGGAGATTGCTCCCTAGTGTCGGTTTCTCTACTAGTCGTCAACTCATTTTCCAGGCCTTCCCACCAATGTTGAGAATTTGCCTCTCGTCCGGCAGATTCGAAGGCAACGCCTGGTACCTGCGTTTCTGAAGGCTTCACTGGCCTAAGAAAGTCTCCCTCCTCGACCTTATCTGAGGTCCCAGGACACTCATCTTCCGTCTGGTCGATTTCTAAAGCCGATATGCTTGCCCCTTGAAGGAGGGAGGTATCGGGCGCCTCGTGTTCGGCACTTTCATCTAGCTCTGTCATTTCCACATCTTCGTCCACGACCGCATTTTGCCCTTCGCTGAGGGGTTGCTCGAGCTGAACTTCCATAAAATCCTCGGTGCAAACTTTATCGACGCCCTCGTCCCCGTCGTCGTCATCTACACCTTCCCTGTTCACGCCATTTCCTACCGAATTAGGTTTCAACCTTGCACCCAAATTTATGTCTCCTCCTGCAGACGACAACCTGACACTTCCGGCAGCATCATTGCCGTTCCTTCCTTCGTCTGCACCGAAGTTGCTTTCACAGACATGTATCCTCTTCCTGAGAGGCGCCTCGGGACGATCCTGAAGAGGCCTCTTCAGACTCGTTGCTTTAGCAACTTCCCCACTTCTCAGAGGGGCCTTCTCTAATCCTTTCGATCGTTTCTCAATGAAACCACATCTGTTCTCCCGTGCGGCGTGCCCCAGGGTGCCAGCAGCACCAACTTCTTCCAAAGAGCACTCCCTACGGATCTCACTAGAGCCCCGCTCGCTCAAGGGGATACTCGTGAAGTCCGAATTGGTCATCACAGAGGGCGACCAGTCCAAATTGACGAGACCAATTTTTTCTCGCTCACCAAATCCATCTACAAGCGGAACTCCGGAGTTCGACGAAGGTCCTGCTCCATCGTCGGTCTTGTCTAACTCCGCACCTTTTGTGATCCCAGCCCCGTCGTACTCGTGATAAGGTTCCACTTCGTGCCTTCCGCTACTACTCTCCAAGAAATTCAAACCGTCTAAAGGTGGCGAGGCGACGCTGTCGCGGCACCAACTGCTGTGGATACAGCAATCAGGCACCCTAGGAGGAAACGCACACTCACTCAGCATGGCGAGAAGCTCTCCATCAACATCGAAACAGCGAGTTGCAGATCCTCACTGATGATCGCCCTCGAGCGCTCGACCAACCACCCTCCACGCCCTACAAACTGCCATCGCCCGGCCTCCTCCGTCCGCCGAAAGCATTCACAATCCCCACCCCTGCTGACGGAAGCCTCTTACCGGAACAAAAAGAAACCCTGGCTGCTCCATTCTGGGCCCAAAATAAAATCCTCACGCCCGTCGTCGACCTCGACGGAGCATTGCCCTCGGCCTCCTCCAAACTGCCAGGTGATCCAATCCCGCTGCCGCTAGCTGCGCAATTGCCAGCTCTATGGCAGGCATCGAACTCGAGCTCTCGCCTCACCTCCAAACCAGCTCGAGACCAGAATCCGAGCAAAACCAAGACATTGCACGTGATCGTCGACGGGCATATTCATCTCGAATCTTTCTGCCACCAAGTTTGCATTCTCGTCCTCGCGCAGCCGAGCGTTATGATAATTGCACACTTGCTGCCACAGTCGCCGGAGCACAAACACGCCCTTCTTCCTCCAGAACCTCGTAGACGCCGTCCTCGCCACCCTCCCCTCCCTCCTCCTCCTTTGCAAATCTCAAAATATGTCCTCCCTCGCCCACAAACTTGGAATGCTCATTAGCGCCGTGCTTAATTAGGTTTCACCCCCGTTGATTACCGCGGTCGCTACCCAACTGCGCCAACTTCTCATACATAGTCATGCACCCACTGCACCAACTTCCGTTAGGGGTGGGTGTACTTTTAGCGGCGACCGACCGAATATTGGTTAAAATTATCACACGTTGGCACAAGTCCCTCCGAATTCTTAATTTGATGTTCCGAGTCGTGCGCAATATTCAATTATGCACACGAGTGACTATGGTAGGTATCCTTGCCCCTGCGCAAGGATGACACGCACATTATGCTAATGCATTCATAACCTTCGAATTTTTTTCTCGTATTATGTAGCGTGTAACCAGATTACCGAACATTTAACTCTCCATGGCGTGCGGGACGCAACTGATGGGTTTAGGGTTAAACTCTGACTTGATCTATGGCATGGCTGAACATCCAACTTGAAACGAGATGCTTCTCGCTTAAGCTTCTCGGATTTCACACTTGAAAATCCAGCTTTGAGATAATTACAAGACGCCTATTTTAAGGGCAACATACGAGTGCTCGGATTTGGCTCAATTTCTAGGCGAAGGAAAAAAAACACCTGCAACTAGATATGCACCTTGGATGTACGTCATGTCATCCAACATATGTGAGTGCTACATAAGTAAGACCAGATTCAGTCCTTCCGATTACGCAACACTTCATCTGGAAGATTAGTGCAGTCAAACAGCATCTCAACGTCTCAACAACTATGTTATTAATATTAGTTGTCCGTTGACGATATGATTCATGTTTGCTAAAGTGTACATACATGTACATGTACATAATACATTCCATGTGAACTAAGGAAGAATAAATTCCGAATACCTTCTTCCAAACATATTCCATATTTTATTTGATTGATATGCACTCTTAAAAGTACAGCCTATTGTCATGACGTATATGTATTTTCCAAGTTTCACAAGTTTCAAATAAACTACTCTTTAGCTTTTCATCATAAATAATATTAATGATTATTCAGCACAAAATATTTACTTAATGCCTCTACAACCTATGATGGAAAAGATTCAAGTAGAGAAAAAAATGTACATTTACTGATAACACAGGAATGATTATCAAATAGATATCAAAATTACACATTAGATTGACAAGGGCAACTTTTTTTCGAAGTGGTATCAATGTGAAGAAAATAAAATTATTCGCATTTCGATATTTCTACAATCAAGAATGCTAAATCAGATTCATAACAAATAATTGAAAAGTAATATTTTTTTGTAAATTTCAAAATTTAAATCCATTTAAAAAAATCAATAGTGATTCATATAAATTTATAATTTGAGATTTTTTCCACAAATCATATAAAAAATTCATGCAAAAATATACCGTAGATTTTTTGAAAGAAAAATTTGATTCACATAAAATGAAATATCTTGATTGCAGGAAATTTGTTTTTTAAGGACATTTGGTATAGATTTAATATAAAAAAGTATTGGTTTTTGAATGTATAAGAAATAGAAAAATTAAAAGAAATAAAATTTTATATAGAAATAATCATTATATTATATTGGGATATGTATTTTTATATTATTTTTTAAAATAACGGGTTCATTCTTAATTATGATTAGTGTAAATTCCAACTTAAAAAAATTTGCAACTTTGCAAAAAAATTATAAATATATCTCTGAATTGAGAAATTTGAAATAAAAATTATATAAAAAAAATTTGATTAAAAATTTCCAACATGTTTGATTATAAATTCTTATTTTTAGGGAAAATAAGAGATCATATTAAATTATATTTAAATTTTTTTATAATATAAAATCAATTTTCTAGATTTGTGGCTTATCTTGAAGCTTAACATTTATAATTCTATATATAAATAACATTTATTCTTTGAGTAGAAATGTACTTTCAAAGGTGAAAATAATTTATACGTAATTAATCATCAGGAAGTGAATGAATTCTTTGGGTTCACAGCTCGAGTTGAATAAATAGTAACACCATACACATATGTACACAAATGAGAAAAACCTTTTTGAAATGAATTACGAATCATGTTGTTTATTAAGTCAAATTTTGTAATATGCAATACTTTTGGTTATATTTATAGATTTTTTACTTTTATTAATCACAAATATAATAAAATTTGATTTCATATCAATTTTTTTTTCCGATTTTAAGTTTGATTGCAAATTAAGCATTCTAATTCATTTTTGAAAATCTTAATGATTTTTCTAATAATTTATTTTGTTGAGCTTCTTTAATTTTCAAATTTTTTTACCTTGTTATTATTTATCTAATTTTTAAATACTCATTTTCATCATGATTCATATTCTAAATTTCTGAATGTTTATATTTATTTAAATTTTTTAATTCATTCTCACGACGACTCAATTGACCAATGCGAACTTTTGAAAACAAACATCACATCCCTGATATGGTTCAATTTTAATAATAAAATTTAATTAACTCTAATTATAGGTGATTTATTTGAATCATTCTCTAGGGTTTTGATTTCGAGAAACTACTATACACCATAGTCTAAATTTTTCAATACTCAAACTTTGAAAACCATGATGAAGATTACAAACTAAATTTCCAAGAGTACACATTTAATATTTTATATTCTATTAAGAAATTAAGATTCAACTAATTTTAAGAACATTATTATTTTCTGAGTTGGAAATATATCTATGAAATATTATTTTAAATTAATTATTTCTCAAAACTAATAATTATTAAATTTATCATCCTGTTGCATAATTGAATTAATACATATTATAATTTATTTTGATCAATTTATTCAATTAGTATATATAATAACGTAGCTCTTTTTGAATCATCAAATGAATTTTTTTTTATCTTTTGAGTAAAATGTTAGCCACATGAATGAATAAATGTACTTCTAGGTTTCGAAACATATATTGTGAGATTGAATACTTAATTTGATGTAAAACTGTCTATATTAATAAAATTATAAATTAATTTAGTATAAAAATTTAAAATTGTAGACTATAAAAAATGAATTAAAGATTGAGTACAATTTTAACAGAGTGCTAAAAGAATATATAATTAAAATTTGTATTTTTAATTGTACTTCTCTGTCGAATTTTTCATAATATAAGGGATAAATCATTATCTTTTGATTAAATGTTAATTTCTAAAACATATCAAAATCTATTCACATGAGTTGATTGTAAAGTACCGAACTGAAATTTCACCTGAAAGTCCAAGAAAGAAGAAATTTGAAATGTATCATTTCAAAATCATGTCTGATCTACTTTTGATGCACTCATATGTTTTAAGAGAAATATTTAAATTTATGCAACTTACATTAGAAATATTTATTTATAAGAAATTAATCTCATTTTCTTTTGATCAATTTTTTATATGGAGAATATTTATATATATAAAGAGTCATAAAACTACTAAAATCAATCACATCCCACTTTTTTATTTTGAATATTTTTACCTTTATAATCTATTGGTTGTGGGCCAAATGATAATTTGACTGGATATGCTCATTGAAAATAAATAAGATTCGAAAAAGAGGAATAATTTATATACTTTCATTCAGTGTGAGTTTATAAAATTATGCAGAAAAATACATAAGACTTATTTTGATTGATGAAGTCTGAATTTCGAAATTCAATACATGATTCCAACATGTTTTTTAAATTTAAGTGTAATCCAATGTATAAACTATGAATGTATATCTATATGATAAAGTTTCCTTTCATGTTTTAATAAAAATATCTTAATAATTTTGAGATTCTAACATCCAAAATAAGAATTTTAAAATAATTTTAGATATTTTTATTTCTTTGAATTAAAAGACTAAAGATGAAAATTTATGCGTTTTATGGATAGTACATGTGTTCCAGAATATTCTTATAAAAGTCTAATATATATAGGGACAAAGATATTTTTATTTCAAAAAATCTAAAAAAATCATAAATGATATTTTTTATGCATGTATTATTTAGTAAATTTTATGTCTTTTATAAAATATTTTAACATAGAAATTCAATAAAATTTCCAGTAAAAATATTTAATTTCAAAATTTGTGGATATGCAAAACTGAAAATTTATTTCAAATCTCTTTATAAAAAGAAAATGAAATATGTGGATCAAATATGACCTGAAAAAAGTTTCACGTTCCTTTCGATATAATGCTCATAAACTACCAACCAATTTTAATATGCATAAAGAATAAAGTCAAAGTATAGAATCTCAATTCTATTCTACATCACAATCTAAAGTAGTTTGTCGGATTGCAAAGAAACATCAAATTTTCACACTCATCGACATTAGATCTTACAACCATAACCATCAAAAAACACTCTATATATATATACTCCATAATACGTGAAACTTCCATGTGTCCATGCTTGACCTAGCTTGAACATTCCTAAAATAATTTTAACTCAAAATAGTCCTAAACTACTTTAAAACACTATCTAAATCAAAATTTTACATTCCTTTCTCTTGTTTACGATAGTTTTATTCAACAGGCCATGAATAATATATATTCCATTGAGAGAAGATAATTCAAGAGACAAATGTCGGAGAGACTATAATCTCTTGTCTTCACTGCCAGAGCACAAGGCATCATGAGTATGCATACCATCAACAAGAATCAAAAGTAAAACATTGCTGAAATCAAGCAACAACAAAACCCCGTGGCCTACACATCACACGGACAATTTGTTCGGTGGTAATTTATTTATCTTCGACGAGCTTAAAACCATCATGACCGTCACACAATGACAGCCATACACTATTCCATATCGACCCTTAACATTATTTCGTTTCTTTCTTACATGTACCATAGGTTTATGTGATTCATTTCACTTTACTCTTTCGGGAATTGTTTCTTTGTCACATTCCTTGCAGGTCCTTTGGACGCGACCAGATTACAAGGATGAATCATGCCAGTCCGAGGACTAATTGCACTGCGTAGGGGAACTCTGATTTGGTCTCGTATCACTTTCTCTTGTGGTAAGGGTGGGTTTCTATATCCATTTCTCTTAAACGACTTCATACAAGAGTACCATTTATATTCTTGGAGTGAAATCTCATCTTATAATTACAAAGATAAGTCTTGTGACAGCTATATATCTCTTCTGGCTTCTTGACACCAATCTCTTGCAACCAGTCAAAGATGACTCGTCATTTTTTGAAGGGAATCGATTGAAGTTACTAAAAAAAATATTTCCTTCTTTTTTTAGATATATTTCTGATCCACCCGGATGATTTTTGTCACTCACCAAGCAATTTTGTCCATCATCATTTCAAACTTAGTGTGAGATCATCCAGAGGTCCGACATTCGTCATTTGAATCTTCCATGGAAACTGACCCTAAACCCTTGTTATTTCTAAGTGCTCGAGGGTATGTAGATAAAGGTCTGTAAATGGCAGAATAATTTTGGGCTCCATTGCATACAGGTCAGGTACAGTCAGACTCTCGATAAGTAGGCCTTGGGAGGAAGAGGATATCATGTACAGTAAATACGGAGAGTATTTCGGTAAGTGCTTTTTGTTGCATCATTGTAAAACTCTTTAACATTTGGGAATCAGTGCACTTGACCATAGTAAACCGACCAACAGGATCAAGCTTTATTCCAAACATGTGTTTCGCAGTCCATTTGTGACGGAATTAGAGTACAAGTGCAAGTATTCAACAGAATGTTTGGTTGCAGCTAGTCAATCGTTATGTGAATAGACGGAGAGAAGTAGATAAATAAAAGGATAGGAATATCCATCAAAACCTAAAAAGTATGAAATCGAATTGGTAACAGGAGTTGACTTTGATAGTATATCCTAAATCATCTAGATTCAACTGTCAGGAACATCCGAAACATCATCAATTACCTCTAGCACTAGTTAGTTTTATATATCGCCAAGTAATGGTCTTAGTATGGCAATGGAAATAATTTGTTGACAAAATATACGAAAAAAAATTATAACTCTTTGGACTAGTTAGTGGATTACAAATTTACCGTTCAATTTGCACTTTCTATGAACCATGCTATGCTATTTAGCACGCTAAACTACAATCGCTTTACTGGTAGTGTTGGAAATGTATACATCCACTATTGTAGAGTTACCATTGCACTAGCTCGGAAACTAGGCAGTAAAATGGGGCCAAGTGGGTAAAATTTTTTTAAGGAAGTACCCCATCAAGGATGAAATCTAATGGGTGACTACATGCTAGATCCAATAAGACGACAATCAGAATATATTTTAAATCACCTCTTAAACCGTCTTTTGAAGCTAAAGGATTCTTAAAACTGGATTACGAGTGTCACACGACTAGGCAACAATACAAGGCAGGATTCTAATTCCTAGTATATATTCTAATTCCTAGATAACCGTGCCAACCGCGAAAGCGGTTGGCACGGTTATCTGTTGCACTGTTATCTGTTAGGCTGGCCCAGCGTGGAGTAGCAGGGCGGGTGGACTGCGTCGAAACACTGCTGTACGAGAGGAGAAGAGAAATTTAAGTTCCTGCATTAAGCGCCAGTAAAGTTCTGCTAAAAAAAGGAGTACCAATCTCCTGCGTCCTATAGCGAAATTCGGATTTGCCGAAATTGCAGTTGGTCTGAGAATGAACGTCAAAATCTGGCTCTCTCAACTTGAGCCCCAATAACCATTTGTGCATACAAATATCGTTTTGCCTGCTGGACTTGTTATGCTTTTTCCCCATTCATACCTTTGAAGCATCAAGAATAGTTGCATATCAGATCTCCTATATATACGCCTGACGATATTTTTGAGAGAGGTGCGCTAATTCTAAACGGTTTCGAAAGCTAAGAAATTTTAGAAATCTGGATCTTACTTCAAATTAACGGAAGGGCTGTGAGTAGGGCGAAGACACTGCAGAGTACAGAAGAGCTCATTCCTCTCTGGACGTATGGTTCAGTATTGAAAAATGTGGCTCACTCTTTCCGCAGACTCAGCACAATGAAAACAGAAACCGAAAGACTTGATAAAGGAAATGAATTTGCGCTTGAAATGAAAATTGGATTGAAGTATATCAAAATTCGATGACACATCGTTGCTTCTTAACACCACTCCATTCAACTCCACTCCACCTTACAATCAGCAACCGCTGATGTACTGTGATGGCCGAGTTTCTCTCCAGATATGTAAGTACTAGGCAGAAGGCACTGGTAGACAGCAATACACATCACTGTTGAGATCAAATCCGGTCGAGAGCTACACGTGCAGTAGCTATTTAGACGACATGATCGACAGTTACTGCATTTCGGACTATCTAACCAGTGTCCATCACGCGTTGGGTACTTTCTTCCTCTCACATCTCGTTGTTGTCCTCGTAAATGGCATCCATGATTGTCACGACGGCAGCAACGAATGCCTGGTCCACATTGGGGTTGACGACAACGTTGTATTTGTTCTTTCCAAAAGTGAGAGATTTGGCCGAGAAGTGGTGCTTTTTGGTCACCTGCAGAGCAGAGCAGAAGCCGGGGTTTCATACACGGTGTCATGAGTGAGATTGATTGCTGGATAAGAAGCTCTTGCAAATGAAATGCACTCTAGCTCCTGACCTACATGATACTTCCCTGAACTACTGAAGAGGGCAGATCAGACCTTGCAGTCCGAGATCAATTGCTGATAAAAAAAATCACTACATGTGGAAAATATCTCATTGTGATATCTGTTCGCTCCAGTTGGAGGTTTGGTTTGGTATGGATGAGGAAGATACATACCTCTGCAACGATTTCTGTTCCCTGAAAGATAATTTGGTAATTGCGGCGAGCAAAATCACCCTTCACTTCGAAAGTGGGCTCGTAGTCTGCCTGAAGTTGAATCTCATATGTTTGCTCATGGTGATCTATCATATGCTTATCTTTGAGGGTGAAGAGATCGTCGCCGCTCTCTCCACGATACACTTGGTAGGTGTCGTGCAGCGTGATGGACTGAGAAAACAATTCCTCATGTTAATATAAGAAACCTCTTGGAATTCCAGCCACCCGCTCGGCCAAGTTCTAAAAGCTCAAAGTCTTGATTTAAACTTTGCTCTCGTGTACATCTCAGCTTTCAGTTCCAAGAATCTATTGCAATTTCAGATCTAGAGTTGATTATCATGTAGAGGTCAACCGTTGTTAGAATTTTTGTTCTAGTTAGGATGGAACCTTCAGACAAAGCTGTATGAGATTGGATGATATTTAGAACTGAGGACCACATCATGCTGTTGTGTGAACCCATGAACTTGGGTATCGACATAGCTCCAAGGAGAAACTTTAGAATTTGAAGCTTTTAGAAACTATCTGCAGTAGACTGCACACGATGGATTCCACGCCTTAGCTGTGCGATGCCAGTGTTATCAGGGAACATTGTAAATGATGGGAACTTGAGCCAGGTTGTAGGACTATTAGAAACAGAGAACTAGAATTACCTTCTTGCGGAAGCTGAGGACAGGGGAGTCAGAGGCATCGCGCAAAACAGTCCTGTCTCTGAGATGGATCCTCTTGTCGTCGAGCTTGAAAAGAGTGTTGCCATTATCATCAGTGATGACGAAGTTGCCGTTGTTGAACTCTAAGATGTGGCTGGCAACGGTGAGATGGACCTGCTGTGGGAAGCAGTACTGTGGACCAACGATGGCTGGAATGTCCGAATCTAAGAGTGAAGCCTGTGGAGGCTTGAAAGCTGATGCAATCATAAGGATACAATTTATTACATGGTACACGTGATTAGTCATTTTGTTTGCTCTCAGACCTGCCATGACCAAACAACAGCAGGATAGTGTTAGACATTTATTCGAACAAACAACAACATTGCATCCAAGCCTCTTCTAGCTTCGCGCAGAGCTCCAAACAGCACACTACCGATGACAGAAAAATTCTCAGATCAACATCCTGCAATTTCAGAAACAGTTCTAAAATGGACTAATTGGAAAACCAACTGAGAAATTGATTTTTGCAAACATTCATCTGCCAAGTTTTGAATGTGTGCGGCACTGCCAGCAGCTGCACAAGCGGGAAATAGGACTGAAAGTTCAACTTACAAGGGGGATACGAAGTCGGAAGAGTGCAACACAAGGGACTAGGTACTATAGTAGATATGGGATCACTTTGCTTTGTTCGAAGAACTGGTATGAGCAGCTGAGCTGAAGATCTCATGGAAGCGATTCGTTATATACCTTTGTCCATCTTCAAAAGGCCTGAATTCAGGGACATTCTCAACAATCACATGATGTCATGAACCCATGTGTATGTAAACAGCAACATCTGACAGCTGGGGCCACTACCTTTCTGAAAGCAAACTGAATCTGGTGACATCTTCTTTCATTTCTCGCTGTACTTACTCAGAAATGGCTGATTCTTTTTTTTGATGCGACACAGTGAGATACACCATATCTTGGATTCTTAACGTTACAAGGTCATGAATGAAGCTTCTGTGACTCATTTTGCTATAAACGACCTTGATCTTAGTTGCGATCTAGAGATCCGGTGATGCAAGCAGAATATACGGTTGAGAATGTCAACAATGTAGATGTATGTATCTCAACAGCTTGAAGTCCTGAAGAATCTCCTGAAGGTGAGCTGTGGTCGCTTTTCAATAGTAGCTTTAAGCCTGCAGTTTTCAGAAGCCAATGCGATGTTTGGAAAAACACTGCTGAAATATTCCTTCCTTCATGCTGTTCCCAGAATTATGGGACTCCATGGTATAATTGGTATCTCGAGGAATTGACAAGATGCAACGAACGGAGTCATACATCAATGTGTTGGCACTAACGACGTGTTATTACTTCACAAGCACCTGTATGTCTTGAAGTGACTATCATGTTCTTTTTCACACGAGCATATTCATGGTTAATTCGAGAGCAGTGCAGTTTACAATACTATTTAGATCAGCAATCAAACTATGGATTTGACGTGAGATATTGATGGAAGTGGGAGTTTTAAAAATTGAATCTTAACTAAATACAATCTACCTTTGAGTGTTCCAGACTAACCATAGCCAATCCAACTCGGAACAAACATCAAATTAGTGATTATTATAAATTCTTTATTAAAGAAGATGATACTTTATGGATGTAAAAAGACTTGCAACACAGCTACTTTGAACAACAAAATTTTTACGCTTTTCTGAAACAGTGGAGCAATTTGTTTGTGGAAAGAATTTGATCTACCTTTAATTTTGTCATTTGGTGGATCTATTTTGTGGATCTTGAATCTACCAGTTTTCACCAGACAGGTGCACCGCATCAGGAAGGTTGCTGTTCAGAACAGACACTCAAAGCTATGTCCAACGGCGTGTTTGTATTCAACAGGAGTTCTTATTGAGAAAAATATTGAAACTCGTTGTATATGAGTTTGACAGGGGAAGGTGTGTGAAGTAAGAAGAATAATGAAATAAAATTTTCTGTGAGAAAATTAAGAAAGGACAACTATACCTTCTTTTATCAGTCACAGTTTCCATTTTCAGTTCATGTCTGATTTTTGACATAAGAGTTTTGGGTTCCGACACCTTCTTGAAGATCCTTCTTAGTGTCAAGCGAGACCTTATTATCTTTTGAATCACGAATAAACACGAGATTCTGAAAGGTTACAGACAGAAGTGTGACGTGACTCATCTATTATAAAACGTTCATATCAATCATGGTTCAGTTAGTTAATCGACTTCTTCCTTTCTTGACATTGATGAATTGTTCATTTTAAGCAGTGTAGAAGCAGTAATGCAGACATCAATTCGCAAGAAGTTACTATGAACAGTTATATCATAACAGTAACGAGTGGACACAGTTTTTTGCAGCTCAGTTTCGATCATAAATTTTCTACATGCATGAACAGAAGCTTATATATTGTTCAACGTTTACTTTCTAAAATGTCAAGTATATAGTCAGAGAAGTCTCTCCATGGATGGAATTCATATTTGACCAACAATTCAAAGGCATCAAACAATATTAGATTTTTTTTCTCGGAACTATTCGAGAGTAATCAATATCGGGGATAGATGTAGCCATAGATTTTCGTGAGTTGAATAAATTATCCATTCGATTCTTCTACTAGAAAATTGGTTATATCTGAACAATATTAGCGATGAAGTTCATAAAGAAGTTGAATCTGCTCACCGCCCAGACATATAATTGGGAAGTATGTACATACTTACGAAAATATTCACTTTTTCGGAGATTTCATTTCATTTACTCCATCTAAATGAACGAAGGACCATCGGGTCTCCTTAATATGCTATTGGCATCTAGAGAAACATCACTCTCTAAAATTACTTTTGTTTAATCATACTGGACCCGGTATGCAGACTTCCAAGAAAAACTGTACTCTACTTTAACAGGTGACGTGGAAAGGACTCTTCTAATGGCTGTCAGAATGCTTGCCACCATGTTTCTCCTTGTTCTCATTGTGGATAGCTTCCATGATCGTAACCACGGCAGAGATGAATGCCTGATCAACATTGGGACTGACAAGCACTCCATAATTGCTCTTCCCCGTAATCATAGAGGAGAGGGAGAAATGCTTTTTCGCAACCTGCAGCAAATACGCGCACATCATCTTCCATAGAAAGTACTCAATGATGAAACTAGATCATCGGAGACCATGAGTAGACACATGTCCCATTTCAAATCGCAGTAGATTCTGAATGACTAGCCCTTCAAGCAAAATGAGGAATGTCACTACAACAGCATGTTTCCCGGATAAATTTTTTGCAGTGCTAATGTACATACCTCCGCAGCAATCGATGATTTTCTGAAAATGATTTCATAGTTGCGACGAACGAAATCACCCTTCACTTGGAAGGTAGGTTCTGAATCAGCTTCGAGTTGAATCTCGTATGTCAGTTCTGCGGCGTCCCTCATGTTCTTGTCCCAAACAGTGAAAAGTTCTTTGGAACTCTCTCCTTTGTATACTTGGTACGTGTCGTGCAGAGAAATTTTCTGGTGCAAAGAGTAGCATTTAAACATCAAGAATTCTAATCATTGTGGTTTTTTTTGTAGCTGGTGTATCTATTGTAAACAGGTAGACAATGAATGATAGAATTTCCTGATTCCTAAGATTCCACTACCAACTAAACGTTCAAGAGGTTGAGCAATCACAGGCATATGAACTGAAGATATCATCCAAGTAAAAGGCAATTCGGAAAGAGAGGTTTAAGAAATTCATTATTTTTTAATTTAGTGTTGACTTCAAATTTCTGGCTGCAACCACAAACCTGAACCCGAATGGAAAAATTGTTCAAACTAATCTCTGTCAACTACATCAAGAACATCTGCTTTTGGGCTCGACTGCTTAGATGATCGCCTGCACAATATTTTAATGAACTAACCTTTTTGTGAATGCTGACCACAGGGCAGTCACCATCATCGCGCAAAACTGTCAGTTCTCGTAGGAAGACCTTCTTCTGATCCAGCTTGAAAAGGGTGTGACCCTCAGAATCTGTGATGACAAAGTTTCCATTGTTGTATTCCAAGACCTTCTTGGCAATTGTGAGTTTCACCTCCAAGGGCGAGCAGTACTGCGCATCAACAATAACTGGGAATTCCATTTTTCAAATCTGCATTGGAGAAATCCTCAGAACGTCAAATCACGTGGGTTAATGTAAGAAAGTAGGCGCCACATTTTGAGAACTAGGTACATGTACAGCTTGAAGTTTGAAAGAATCCTTGAATTACATGGGATAAGTGTAAGTTAGAGATCCAGCTTAGATGCACACACTTCAACTCTACGAATCTCAAAACAGAACAACTGAATCATGGATTCAGAAACGAGAGAACTGATAGAAGGAGTCAAATCCGTGCACAATCCGAAAATGCTGACGAGACTAATCGTCTAGCTCTAAATTAAACCTTGGTAACAATAACAAGTGTTCTGATCTCAGAACACTTGTTATTGTGAAGAGAAGTGCAACGATAAATATAACAATAAGAAGGACTGCAATACAAGGATGTTTTCCAGGTTACTTACAGCGTACAGAGAAAACAAATGTGCAGGAGTTGGCCTGGTAAAGTTGCTTTGCTGACTTGCAATATGGGACTGAGCCAAATCTGTGCTGAGAATGATTTAGCAGCAAGGTCTATTTGTACTGGTTACATATCTTTGTTCAATATGCTGATATTCACACGAGATTCGAAATTTCTAACGATAGTGATGCAAATTACATGTGGAATCCTTCAAGTTATCGCTGTAACTTTGTAAGATGAGCTAGACTGGAAGTGAAACAAGGGCATGCATTTCGGAGGTTTTTTAACTTATTTCTTCGCTAAATATGTCAATGCTTCCCAAAACCATGTAATGCATTTAAACGATGGCTGTAGTTGCATGTTCAACATTTTGGAAATTATCATAATGAACTACTTGGTCTTACGTCCCATATCCATAGAAAGTTTCAAGGGCTAAGCTTGAGGACTCACTTGTCTTTTCGCATCTGCTTTAGACCTGGTCCTCTTCGTTGTGAAGACACAGAAATAAGGACTGTGTCACGAACATTCTTGGAACAGTGCAACTTGTTTTTGGCAAGAATCTCGATTTATAGAGCCACTAACAGCAACGATCCAACAAATGTTAAGGTCATAGCTCCATTCTAGAGGTGATGCGTGGTTGCAAACAGGAAGGTGACACTCTGTCAGAGACAACTCGCGTTGAAAACAAACGATTTTCATGAAAGTCTCTTTAGACAAGCAAAAACAAATTAGAGTCTACAGTAGAAGCTACAAATTTGAAGCCAAAGGTCCTTGAAAATACTTGATACTTATGACTGCTTGTCTTCATGAAACATCGGTCGAATTAAACTGAGGGGATCTCTTAGCTTTGCATGTGGACTGGCAGAATGTATGTTCGAAACGAATTTTCCTGAAACCCACACATCTTCACATCAGAGGTCCCGATGTGAGTCAAAATTGAAACAGTGTACTAAATTTAATTATCTTGTTCAAAGATAACGCTCTCTAAAGAAGAGTCTAATGTGACTTCAGTTGAAATTGCTTGCTGGTGATACACATATTTGTTTGTTCGGACAGTGCCGACTATCTCCAAAATCGCTATCACCTCAATTATCACAAATATAAATTTAAATATATAAACAAATATAGTTATATTTATATATAAACACATTCATGAAGGGTTAAGTTTGAAAGCGTCAACAGGTTTCTTCTTCTTAGATTGGGATCAGTCAGATGTCCAATATTTTGCAATAGGAAAAGATATGTTCAGACGAGCAGAATTTTGTACAAATTTCTACCGTCCACTTCAAGTACGCGATTGAAATTTTTTTCATGCATGTATTGTATAAAGATTTCATTCCTTCATTCATTTTCAGCAATTAGTGATTTATTAATATAGTGATTTATTAGTGATATCACGAATCAATATTTGTAATACAGTCCATAAATCTCTGTCTTCAGAACAAGAGGAGCATGTCTAAAGCAGCTGCGAAGAGACTGATGGTTCCTCAAGCTTAATCCTTAAAACGGGAGTTGGAATTTTCACGTAATTATTAAAGACACAGAACCTGCAACTACAGTCTTCGTTTAGAAGTATAATAATGTTTTCGAAAGCATTGGATGACATATTTCACCGAGAATGAAAGGTACAACCCTCCGAACTGCTCACGCTTGTTTTTTTCTGAGTCTAGCTCACCTTACGAATTTACAGCGAGAACTTGAAGGATTCCACTAGTAATTTGCCTTTACAGCTACTGGAGCTCCCATATGACCAACTTTTAACTCACTAAAGATAGAAGGTTTGAATCTCCGTAAACATCAGACTGCTCGAAGTGGATATGTTGCATGGACCTTGCCAAGTACAAATAGACCATGCTGTTAGATCATTCTCAGCACAGATTTGGCTCAGTCTCATTATCGCAAGTCAGCAAAGCAACATTTCCAGGCCAGCTTCTGTACATCTGTTCTCTTCTCTGCTCGCTGTAAGTAACCTCGAATGCAGCCTTGCTATCGCAGTCCTTCTTATTGCTATATTTATCGTAGCACATATCTTCCTCAATCGAAATACTTGTGATCATTACCAAGGTCGACTTTATAGCTAGACGATTAGTCTGGTCAGCAGTTTCGGACTTATTTTGTGGATTGATTTGTCACCTGCGAGCAATTTTCTCAATTATAAATGCATGAATCAGTTGATTTGTCTTGAGATTCGTGGAGTTTAAACTCTTGGAGCTAACCTGGATCTCTAACTTAAACTATGGGATTCAAGCATTGTTTCAAATTTCAAGTTGTACATGTTCCTCGATCTCAAAAAAATGTGGAGCCTGGGTACCTTACCTACATACAGCGACGTGAGATTTGATGTTCTGAGGATTTCTTCACTGCAGATTTGAAAAATGGAATTTCCAGTTATTGTTGATGCCAAGTACTGCTCGCCCTCGGAGGTGAAACTCACAGTTGCCAAGAAGGTATTGGAATGCAACAATGGTAACTTTGTCATCACTGATTCTGAGGGTCACACCCTTTTCAAGCTGGATCAGAAGAAGGTCTTCCTACGAGAACTGACAGTTTTGCGCGATGATGGTGACTGCCCTGTGGTCAGCATTCACAAAAAGGTCAGTTTTATAAGATAACATGTACGCGATCTTCTTAGCTGTGGAGCCAAAAAGCAGATATGATATTCTGTAGACGGATTAGTTTGAAAATTTGTCGATTCGGGTTCAGGTTTGTGATTGCAGCCAGAAATCTGATGTCAGCACCCTCAGTTCCTAACCGGAAAGAACATTCTAATTTGGCCGTTCCCATTCGGATGGAAACCTCTCTTTCCGAATTGACATTTAGTTGGATGATATCTGCAGTTCAGTTGCCTATGATTGCCCACCCTCTTGAATTTTTCGTCGGTATAGGAATCTCTAACACTCCCTGCCTACCTTTTTACGATTGATACCTCAGCTATGCAAATTAACCTCAAGGATTGAAAGTTTTGATGTGTGCATGCTACTCTTTGCATCAGAATATTTCTCTTCATGACACGTACCAAGTATACGAAGGAGAGAGTTCCAGAGAACTGTTCACTGTTTGGGACAAAAACATGAGGGACTCCGCAGAATTAACTTACGAGATTCAACTTGAAGCTGATTCAGAACCTACATTCCAAGTGAAGGGGGATTTCGTCCGTCGCAACTATGAAATCATTTTCAAAGAATCGTCAATTGCCGCGGAGGTATGTTCTTCAACAGTTCAAAAATGATAGGCGAAATGACATTGTTATTATCCTCAGGTTTAATCAGCGTCCACATGACTTTGAGATAGAAAATGTTTCCAGTCATGATTTCAGATGAAATAATTTCATTCTTGACTATATGGAAAATGATGTGCGAATTTTGTATGCAGGTTGCCAAGAAGCATTTCTCCCTGACCTCTATAATCACGGGTAAGAGCAATTATGGAGTACTTGTCAGTCCCAACGTTGATCAGGCATTCGTCTCTGCCGTGGTTACGATCATGGAAGCTATCCACAATGAGAACAAGGAGAAACATAGTGGCAAGCACTCAGATTGATTCAAAGAGCACTTTCCCAAGCTTTCTGTCAGAGAACAGGATCGTTTTTCTCGGATATCTACATACCAAGTCCATTATGGATAGAGAAAACTTGTTCTGCAAAAAATGATGTTTCTCCAGATGCGAAAAGCAGATTAAGCTGACAATTTGGGTCTTTGCTCAATTCGAAGGATTGAATAAACTGAAATTTTGAGAAGTTTGAGCAATTTTGTGTGGAAGTACAGTCTCCTGTGAGTATGCCCGATTGTGTGTTGAAGGCCCGATTTTTATTGTAAGATCGTTGTAGAGATCTTCATCTTGGAGCTGAAATCTCTTATCGTTAGGATTCTAAGCCTGCTTCAAATTTAGTGAAACTCGTGGCTATGCATGTCTGCAGCTTCTAGATGGGGATGCAACCTGGTCCCGGTACAGATCGATCGGGAAGAATACAGCGGTAGTTAGCGTCTTGACATTGCTGGTGGGAAAACTGATTTCTTGCTGTCAGTATACACCTTTCCTTACCTCAACTTCAACTTCAGTTGCCAGTGATACAGATCTGTTGATTTTGCTGCTCAAACATTTGTTTTCGAACCTTTAACTTACAAAAGCAAATCAGATATATTGAATCGTCTTCGAGCTTTCTGAAATGCCATTGACATTCACAACAGATACTTCAACGCTGTTTCCGTATCCTGTGAAACTAAATTCTCTTTCTTCATCGACGATTCTCGCTTTATCTCCGTTGACATTGTCTGACCTCGGCACGTAAGATAGATCGTTCATTCAAATCATAGTTGCTATCTACTTACTGAACACTTCGGAAAATCTTTGGATACGTTCCTCTCCTGCGTTACTTCTAAATTCATATCTCTACTGTCTTGACTCAAGACAGAAGGAATCCCCTTAATTGTGTGGTTTACGCATCTATTTCAACACCCATCTCCTTAGACATCATTCCATCCCGAATGCCTATGCATACCGTTGCATGTATCTAAATAGAAACTGAGAATTATAATTTTTTTTTTTTGGTTAATTAACTATGATCAGATACAGCCGATCAACCCGATTGCTCAAACATCTAAGCGCACTATGACTGATAGTAAAAATTCTTCCCTGACAGTAAATTTTGTGAATTGTCATGAATATATGCCTTAATATTAACGTACATAGTGTTCAGGTCTACAAATCGAAGGTCCGGAATAAATAAAGAAAATCCTCGAGATAGCCCGTGGGCAGAAGAAGAATATATCAGAAGAACTTAATTAAGGGGATGATTGTTAAACAACATACACTATGTCACAAGTATGTGCTGATGAAAAATAAAAAGTATTACTTGGAAATCATCAAAATATTCCAAGCCTTACTTCGACTTCAGGTCCGCAAGCAATGTGTGTTACAACTGAGATGTTGGATCATCCGCCAATAAAGTAAGCTCATCGTGGCCAGTCTTGACAGGATCATCTATCACTTGCTCCTCTTACATCATGAAAGATCGACTGTTCCTACAGGGAGTCGAGTGGGTCCATTTAAGTGATTGGATTGAATCGAAAACCAATTGTGCTCAAGTCCAGCTAGCATGTCCTAATTTGAGGATGTCGAATTGGGATAACCTTCGATCAGCTTTCCTCATATATACAACACACCTACTAGAGCTCCTCTGACAATTGTTTTTGCAGCATTTTCCTCTTGCAGAGAGGCGTGATCTAATTTGATGTATTTGATGACATTGGCTTCCTTCTTGGATTAGTTCACCCAATTTGATGTTGCCATTGCCCCTACTTGGTTTCAAAAGTCTAATAGAATACAGTCAAATTTGTTTCATGTTTACAATGTATGTATAGAAAACTTTTACACATGCGCTGCAGATTTTGCGGCAATAAATGATCGTCCTAGTGACAATTACTCCTCCACAAAACAAGTAGAGTATTTAGTCCGCTAGGTAGTAAAAATGCTTGATGAACCAATCCATAACTCTATGGGATCCTAAGTGGTGAAGTACAGTAAAACTATTTTCACAAACATGAATAAAGCGAGCTTTTTTGTGCCACGAACAATCCTGTTCCTTCCTGAAGAACTTCTATTCTAAATTATTGGCCTCCTGGGAACGTCCTCTGAAGAAGTGATGAAATACATGTTACTATCACTCAAAGATGCGTCTGTCAATACAGTCTTCGTCCCGTGGAATCAATTTCATCTTCAATCCTCTAACAACATCATCTGTGCACAACAGTTTGACTTCTCCCCGAATCTCGTGAACATCACTTTGCTATGTAAAGTTACCGGTAGTCATAATACATCGATCAGGCATGCTCTACATTTGCACTCGGTGTGACAGGTATGAACTACACAACTGATGATCTCCGCAACAGTTTGTAAATACTCGTTTTGTTCGCTTTCGAAGCATCCTGATGTTGCCTGAAGAAAAATTGAATTGCGTTTATGCGTTCATGGAGTTTCCCTGAGATATCACCAACACTCGAATAAGATCCAAAAGCCATTTATTGAATTTTGAGAATAGTCTGAAAGGTACACTGACCGATAAATTACTGAAGTAGATACAGATATAGAAGTCACTTATCTGAGTCAGGTATACTTTTAGAGTGTTTACATAACGCTTAGAAGACTCTCTTCTGTCCTCTTCTGTCAATTGTTATGCAGACCTTTATCATATGGATACAATGATAAAGGTCTGCAGATCAGCCGAGACCTGACTTTGACATGAGGACCAGGTTTCTTGGTCAGGTTTAGCAGGCCAGAGCTTTTTGTGTTGAAAGTCCAAGTTCAGATTTGTAACCGTCCAACTATCAGTAAAGACAGAGCACAAAGTCCAAGTTTAGTTTCTGCGAGCGTTTTGTCAACTCACAATTTATTTGAGTATATTTGTGGTATCAAATCAGATCTTTGAGAGAGTTGCCATGAATGATCTACGCATGATATACTTTATATGCAATATATATGATGGTTGAAAACAAAATTCAGGATCTAGATTTTGTGAGCCAAAACTCTCCACCCTTCAGCGTTTGTAATCCAAGTGGGGGTTCGAGCTCCCATAATCTAACTTCTCAGTTCTCAAATCATGTACTGTGAGTGTATTCAAGACAACGAGATCATGAACACTAGCTCTTCCACAGACAAATTGTCCAAAATTGAAATTAACACATTGCTGTCTGCTAAGTTCACAAGAGCAGCAGACAAGCTCTTTGTAACATAAAGATCTATCCCAACTCTGGTGACTTTCTCAATACTACAGCTGCTGTGGGCATATCCTAGAATGAGTGCCACATCTCGGACACACTGCCTTGGACTAAGTCAAGTGACACAACCGCAGCACAAGGTGACACCCTTTCTAACAGCAATCTTCACACCAAGGGAACACGATTCTACTCTTAACACTTTGCTCGATTCTTACTCTTATTGATCAACTCACTCTCAGTCCAGCGACACTCTTGGCCTTCACACACACTATTCCGCTCAGCCCTCCGGCGACACTCTCAACGACTCCACACTTTCAATACCCCCGCTCTCAGGGATTTCCCCCTCCTATCAGATTCCACCCACAATGTCGAGTATCAGATTTCAGTCTCAAACACTCAGTTCCCACCTTTGATTTCAGTTCCACTCACAATTCCTACTCAGATTTCGGTGTCAATTTCTCAGCTTCCACCTTCAGACTCCACCAGATTTCTCTTTCAGATTTAACTTTCACTTTTCACTTTCAAATTCAGATCCCGACTGTCAGATTTCAGCCTCAGATTTCACTTTGATTTCAACTCCCACTTACAGATCCTTCATTTTGATTTCAACTTTCACTAACAGATTCGGCACTTTGATTTCAGACCCTGATTGAATTTCACTCAGATTCGACTATCCACCCTCGAGAATTCGCTACCTCCTCCTTCGAATTCTCAACACTCCCTTCCTAATTCTCACCACTTCCCTGCGAAAAATCCCTCACATCCACACTCTATTCCTCCTACTGATCCCACCTTCGTCCACACACACTGGTACACCTCCAAGGCAATTCCTGAATAATTCTCTATCAGCCACTTTAGACATTCATAACTCATTGACCCCTAATACTTTTCAAAAATTCTTGGTCTCGTTGGAACGAGTGTTGCGAGCTCTTTCCAACGAGATCCTAATTAAGTCACCGTTACGAATTGAAAACGTTATCATGGTTCTACCTTTCCGTCGAAGGCCTGCTACCGCCGAAGGCCCTTCCGCCAAAGGCTTGCTACCGCCGAATGCACCCATATCAATAACTTCCGACACTTCTAACTCAATGATGCCTTATCCGTTTCAAGAATTCTTGGTTTCGTTGGAACGAGCGTTGCGAGCTCTTTCCAACAAGACCCTAATTGAGTCAAGGTGTCATACATTTAAAACGTTGTGAGGGTTTCACTGTTTCGCCGAAGGTCTCTCTCAGAATGGACTCCACCGAATACCTTGCTCTAAAGGCCCACTTTCTCACCTTTGTATACTAACCATCACATCAACTCCTAATCTTGCCAAAACTTTTAGAAAACCCCAAGCATAATTTTGCAAGAACTTAAATCCAAAATTTGAACTCTAAAAATACAAAGACATGCGAGCTCTTTTTTGTGCTCAAAGATTTACAAGTGTTGAGATATTGGTTGACCTCAGAAAGTTACAGCACATGTTACTTTAATGATTAGCTCTAAAGGACAACTTGAAGCTTCCGGCTATATGAAGACAATTAAGCCAAAGCCTCAATACTATAATACATTGTGCAGAGGGAACAAATACCTGTTAATTGCACGATTTATTGCTTAAGTACAGCTTTCGGCTTCACAAGATGTCCGACATGAAGAATAGACGGGAATATGAGCATATGAACAAGTGCGGAGGATTATCGGAACTTTCAAATTTAGCTCAGGAGGGTTTGTGCGCTATATTTCCACTTTCTTCAATTATGTATCACATTGTCCACACACTCTACATCTTGTCAGACGGTGGTGGTAATCAACTGGCCGGGCACACACACTCCTGGCTTGGCAGCCTCCAGAGTCGGGGGCTCGTTGTAAGGTCTCTGTGATTTCATGGCTCGAACCGCTGCAATATCAATATTGAGAGCTATAGCAGCTGCACGCTCCGGCAATTGCAAAACCGCTCCAGCAGCGTCCTGAAGGAAGAGCAAATAGTTAGTGCCATCGATAATAATGTGTAATCGTACTGTTGGGCACAATACAGTATATGTGGATAATTAAGTCTATTCCGATTCCAATGGGTGTAATGGATTGCTGTCTTCGATCAGAATAAATATTGAAGAAACTAAAATACGGAATAGTAGAATATAATGCGACCTACCAAAGTGCCTGGATTTTGGCTGTTCAGAGCAGAAATGTAGAAAGCTGTTTCTGTCCCAACATTTACTTCAAAATGTAACAAACCCCTAGGAAAGACGATGAGATCTCCTGGGTAGAGAATGTTCATATGAGTTTCTCCTGCAATCAAATGGTCGAAAATTGAATTATTAGATCTGAATTAAAAGGCAATTTCTTCTCCTGTATCTGAGTCCCGGGCAAAATCTAATGATGATGTGAATTATGTAAAAAAAATCAGAACCTTTGGTATCTACGAAGCCAGCTTGGAGAGGACCACCACTGATCAAGGAAAGGAGCTCTGTGGCACGCGGGTGCGTGTGTGGCACGTTCTCTCCGCATGGTACCATCTTGAACTGAACAACGGTCAGACCCTCAGACCTGCAAATGCACGAAAAAAACAAGAGAAATTCATGCTTACTTAAGACTTTCGCTTCGACCAAAAACATGTTATTTGTGTATTTGATTGATAACACTGCAAGAAAAGACTTAGTGGTTGGAGATTAAGTACGTAAGGCCGGGGAATTTTCCGATGTCGAGAGCTGCTCGAACGCCTCCAGATCCGAGAGATACGTCTCCGTTGACAAAGATGTTGCGGAAGACTGGTGTAGTTGCGTTTGCCGAAAAGTCGACCAGAGGATCGGGATCGGCAGCCTCGACTCTCTGTACACGCACCAGGCATGTGCTGCAAATGAAAACAAGCATGACCATGCCATGCACCATCTTAGACTTGCAATCCGCCTTCGAGAAGTTCATGCTCGTCGTCTGTGTTTGATTTCAAGTGTGGAAATTGGAAATAGAGGATCTAGTAGGTAGTCAGGGTCTATACCGGGAACTGATCCAAGAGTTGGAAGATCTTCCTGAGCTTGCTGAAGAGTTGTTTTGATCTGGTCTTTATACATCTGATTGAGCTGTGTCATCTCGAATTCAATACTCAGAAGTTTCGTAAATTATGTATCTGGAATCTCATTTCCTGAAATGCTCTCACGCTTTGCTTGTGAACTGGTGCGTTACAATACTTCATGTCTGGGAACGGTCCATACTTAAACACTATCCACTGCAGGGCTGTTCCCATTATGATTTTGTATGAGATTTAAAAGGATTTCTCTTGTCTAGATGTCATGGGAAGTCTCTGTAAACCCATGATAGTGGAAGTAGGGTCAGGTTGAGACCTATTATGGACTCAAATGATCATGTGCTGCCACGTTGTACTTATCTGGTGATCATCCTCAGTGTTTTCATGTTCAGCCCAAATCATTTGTATATATGTTCGCAGATGAGAGTGTCGCGTTGTGAAAATTCTTGTCAAAGACATATGAAGGCTGTGCATGTAACTGTCCTCCTGGGACGCTACTATTCTCAGTATGTTTCATGCATTTCTTTTTCACTAGAATGTCAGCACTTTGGGTTGAAAATATTGAGTGAAAATTCATTGAACTTGATCCCGGAGAAATTAGTTTAGTGTGAAAGATTAAATTTAATCCATAGCCAGCCTGTAAAAGTGCATTTATAGTACATCACTTGTATGGATGATGTGATATCACATATACAAAGTCAAAGTCAAAGATAAAGCGCTTTTCCAATTGCTGAAACTAGACCCAGAGAACTGGTCGTCATTTTTCAGTACGCTCGGCTTATCTACATGTTCACATGGATTCTATGATAGAAGTCTGCATGGTAATGCACACAAAGATAATATAAAAGACATGCAGATCTTGGACCTACCTCTACAGTTGGCGAGTCATCCACTGTTTCACGCTTCCTTACTCAAGAAGTATCAAGTGGATGGTTCGATGAAAAGAAATTGTTGTAGCTGTTTCTTGAGGTGAAAGATGTCGAATCTGGAATTTAAACAAAAATATCTGTCAATGACAAGAAATACAGAAATACTCGGTGGAATGGTGAGTTTATCATATTAAGGAACATATGTCAAGTTTGGAGGCTGCCCAAAATGTATTGGACTTATAACAGAGTCATTACAAAAACAGTATAGTTTCTGTCTGTACAAACGTAGATTTAGACGGTAGATTTGGTTGTACCCGTCGTTGAGAAGTAAAGACTTACTGACTTCTTATAAGCCTTACGATTCATCTTCAAATAATGTTATTTTCTGAAAAAATATAATTGCACGGTAATAATTCAATGTGATTTCCCAGATTGGGACCAATTCTTAGATACTCGTACACTCCATTTACACATCGGTGATGATTATTGGGGTGCTTCGTTGTACACTCACTGTCTTTTGGCTACAACGAAGGTTTTTCGTCATTGAAATACGTTTAGCTACACTGCCCACAGTCTAGTGGAAATACATGCATGGAACATATTCAAGAATCGTAGCTAACTCAGTCCATCGGTTTCATTGAGATGCACGTAAGATCCTTCATATTTCTCTCATAAGACTGATCACAAACAGAGAGGCTCATCTTCGATCTCATATACAGCGGGTTGAGCTGAAAATAAAGAAACATGTGCATGATTATACATATGAACAGTATGGCTGCACATGACCATTTGATTCGAAAGTAGTGATCAAACTGACCCTACTTCCACTATCTCGGCCTGAAGAGGACCTCACATGACATTCACAGTAGAACAGATGAAAGCTTTTGAGTTCTCAAAAAAAGTCGATTCTAAGAGTCGATAATGTTTAAGATGTAGCAGTACCCATACATTAGATGTTACAAACTACCAATTCACAAGCTAAGCGTGAGAGCATAGGGGTCAAATAACTCCCAGATACATATATTATGACAATTTTGAGTAAGGGATTCGAGGCGACACAACTCATTCAGGTGTATAAAGGCAAGCTCGAAACAACTCTAAAGCAGTATCAGGAAGATCTCCCTTCCCTTGCATCGGTTTTCGTCACAGATCCTGGCGAACTACTTTTTCTAGTGTATTCATTTTCACACTAAAAGTTGAAAACAGACGACGATCATGAACTTCTCGAATGTTGATTGCAAGTCCAAGATGGTGCATGGCATGGTCATGCTTGTTTTCATTTACAGCACATGCCTGGTGCTGGTACAGAGAGTCGAGGCTGCCGATCCCGATCCTCTGGTCGACTTTTCTGCAAACGCAACTACACCAGTCTTCCGCAACATCTTTGTCAATGGAGATGTATCTATTGGATCCGGAGGCGTTCGAGCAGCTCTCGACATCGGAAAATTCCCCGGCCTTACGTACGCCGATTCCAACAACACATTTCTATCTTGCTGGGTTATACATGGACAAATGGCATGTCTTATATCGAAGGGAAATTCTTTCGAAAACCTTATAAATATTGGAAGGCTTTCAGGCGTCTTCCGTTGTAGTCTAGTTGGTTAGGATACTCGGCTCTCACCCGAGCGACCCGGGTTCAAGTCCCGGCAACGGAACTAGCGTTCGACGCATTATTGTCTGCCGTACATCTTTTGCCTAGGTTGAGATACAACGGGATTGCTCTCCAAACATCTTCCACATATCCGCCAGACTGTCTCTCAAGTATTCAGAGTATAGGATGACACAACTTCTCTTTAAACCTAGACCTCCTTGTCTTACTTGATTGCCAAGTTCTGAAGTAATGCTGCCTCACAGCTTTCCTTAAGAAAACCACGTACGCTTCTTGCAATTTCCTTTCAGAAAAACACATACACTAAATGCATACAAGCTATCTGTTCGAGCCTTCTCTTGAGGCTGGGGCTTCATTGCCTTCATATACATCAGCGGGAAGCTGTAGTATTTACTTAGAGGAAATCATGCTGCAAGTGTCTGAGCTAACCTAATATATCTTAACCTTTGTTGATACACATGCTTAGTTTCCGTCCTATAGCGAAATTCCAATTTGCCGAAATCGCAGTTGGTCTGAGAAAGAAAGTCAAAATCCGGCTCACTCAACTTGGGCCCAATGAACAATTTTGCATACAAATATCCTTCTGCCTGCTGGACTTGTTATAGGTTTTCCCCATTCAATTCTTTGAAGCATCAATAATCGTTGACTTTAGATCTCCTATATATATGCATGACGATATTTTTGAGAAAGGTGCGCTGATTCTTAACTGTTTCGAAACCTAACAAATCCAGAATTTGGATCTTACTTCAAATTAACGGAAAGGCTGTGAGCAGGGCGAAGACACTGCAGAGTACAGTAGAGCCCATTTCCTCTCTGGACGTATGGCTCAGTATTCAAATAGGTTGCTCATCCTTTCGGCAGATTCAACACAATGAAGAAAAAAACCCGAAAGACTTGATAAACAAAATGAATATGCGCTTGAAATGAAAATTGGATTAAGTACATCAAAATTCAATGACACATCGTTGCTTTTTCACACCACTCCATTCAACTCCACTCCACTCCACTCAACTCCACTCCACTCCACTCCACCTTACAATCAGCAACCGCTGATGTACTGTGATGGCCGAGTTTCCCTCCAGATATGTAAGTACTACGCAGAAGGCACTGGTAGACAGCAATACACAACACTGTTGAGATCAAATCCGGTCGAGAGCAACACGTGCAGTAGCTATCTACACGACATGATCGACAGTTATTGCATTTCGGACTATCTAACCGGTGTCCATCACACGTCACACGTCAGGTCCTCTCTTCTTCTCACATCTCGTTGTTGTCCTCGTAAATGGCATCCATGATTGTCACTATGGCAGCAACGAATGCCTGGTCCACATTGGGGTTTACTACAACGTTGTATTTGTTCTTTCCAAAAGTGAGAGCCGTGGCTGAGAAGTGGTGCTTTTTGGTCACCTGCAGAGCACAGCAGAAGCCGGGGTTTCATACATGGTGTCATGATTGAGATTGATTGCTGGATAAGATCTTGCAAATGAAATGCACTCTAGCTCCTGACCTACATGATACTTCCCTGAACTACTGAAGAGGGTAGATCAGACCTTGCAGTCCGAGATCAATTGCTAAAAATGCAAATCATTACATGTGGGAAATATCTCCTTGTGATATCAGTTCGCTCCAGCTGCAGGTTTGGTTTGGATGAGGGAGATACATACCTCTGCAACGATTTCTGTTCCCTGAAAGATAATTTGGTAATTGCGGCGGGCGAAATCACCCTTCACTTCGAAAGTGGGCGCGTAGTCTGCCTGAAGTTGAATCTCATACGTTTGCTCATGGTGATCGATCATATTCTTATCTTTGAGGGTGAAGAGATCGTCGCCGCTCTCTCCACGATAAACTTGGTAGGTGTCGTGCAGCGTGATGGATTGAGAAAGCAATTCCTCATGTTAATATAAGAAACCTCTTGGAATTCCAGCCACCCGCACTGGCAAGTTTTAAAAGCTCAAATTCTTGATTCAAACTTTGCTTTCGGGGTACATCTCAGCTTCAGTTCCAAGAATCTACTGCAATTTCAGATCTAGAGTTGAAGTTCATTTAGAGGTCCAGCTTTGTAAGTATTTCTGTTCTACTTAGGATAGACCCTTCAGACAAAGCTGTATGACACTGGATGCTATTTAGAACTGAGGACCACATCATGCTGTTGTGTGAATCCATGAACGTGGGTATCGACAAAGCTCCAAGGAGAAACTTTAGAATTTGAAGCTTTTAGAAACTATCTGCAGTAGACTGCACACGATGGATTCCACGCCTTAGCTGTGCGATGCCAATTTTATCAGGGAACATTGTAAATTGATGGGAAATTGAGCCAGGTTGTAAGACTATTAGAAACAGAGAACTGGAATTACCTTCTTGCGGAAGCTGAGGACAGGGGAGTCAGAGGCATCGCGCAAAACAGTCCTGTCTCTGAGGTGGATCCTCTTGTCGTCGAGCTTGAAAAGAGTGTTGCCATTATCATCAGTGATGACGAAGTTGCCGTTGTTGAACTCTAAGATGTGGCTGGCAACGGTGAGATGAACCTGCTGTGAGAAGCAGTACTGTGGACCAACGATGGCTGGAATGTCCGAATCTAAGAGTGAAGCCTGTGGAGGCTTGAAAGCTGATGCAATCATAAGGATACAATTTATTACATGGTACACGTGATTATTCATTTTGTTTGCTCTCAGACCTGCCATGACCAAACAACAGCAGGATAGTGTCAACCATTTACTCGGAGAAACTACAACATTGCATCCAGCTTCGTGCAGAGTTACAAACACCGAACTACCGGTAGCAAGAAAGTTCTCAGATCAACATCCTGCAATTTCAGAGACAGTTCTAAAATGGTGTGATTGGGAAACCAACTAACAATATTGACTTTCGCAAACATTCATCTGCCGAGACTCGAATGTGTGCGGCACTGCCACCAGCTGCACAAGCGGGAAAGTTCAACTTACAACGAGGATACGAAGTCGGAAGAGTGCAACACAATGGGCTGGGCACAATAGTAGATACGTGATCACTTTGGTTTGTTCGAAGAACTGGAATGAGCAGCTGAGCTGAAGATTCCATGGAAGCTACTCGCTTCATACCTTCGTCCATCTTCAAATGGCCTGAATTCAGGGGCATTCTCAATATTCACATGATATCATGAACCCATATGTATGTATAGAGCAACACCTGGGGCCACTACCCTTCTAACAGCATATTGAATCTGGTGACATCTTCTTTCATTTCTCGCTGTATTCTTACTTATAAATGTCTGGTTCTGTTTTGTGATGCGACACAGTGATATATACCATATCTTGAACTCTTAACCTTACAGGGTCATGAATGAAGCTTCTGTAACTCATTTTGCTATAAACGACCTTGATATTCGTTGTACATCTAGAGATCCAGTGATGCAAGCAGAAGATACGGAATGTCAAGCAATGGAGATGTATCTCAACAGTTTGAAGTCCTGAAGAATCTCCTGAAGGTGACCTATGGTCGCTTTGCAATAGTAGATCTAAACCTGCAGTTTTCAGAAGCCAATGCGATTTTTGGAAAATCACTGCTGATATATTCAGTCCTTCATGCTGTTCCTAGAATTATGCGACTCCATGTTGTAATTGGTATCTCGAGGAATTGAGAAGATGCAACGAACGATGCCATACATTAATATGTTGTCACCAATGACTTGTTACTACTTCACAAGGATCTGTCTGTCTTGAAGTAACTATCATATGTGTTTTCCGACGAGCATATTCATGCTTAATTCGAGAGCAGTGTAGTTTATATGACTTCAGATTAGCCATCAAACTGTAGATTTGACGTGAGATATTGATGGAAGTGGGAGTCTTAAAAAATAAATTTCAATTAAGTAAGTGCTCGTACGAAATGTACCATAAATATGGCCATCATGCAAAGCATCCCGCGATCCTTTAGGGGAAATCCCAAGGGGTATTGTAGTAACAAGTGCCGGTCTTCAGATGTAACGAAGAGCAAATGTGGCTCCTCAAGCTTTATCTTGAATCAATCAATGGAGATGGGACAGGAAGTATTCAAAGTACACTGTGTTATAATGTTTCCGAATAAACTTAAACTGAAGAAACTGAATAAACTGTATTTTGAGAAGTTTGAGCAATTTTGTGTGGAAGTACAGTGACATGTGAGTAAGCCCGATTGTGTGTTGAAGGGCCGGTATTGATTGTAAGATCGTTGTAGAGATATTCTTCTCGGATGTGAAATCTCTTATGGTTTGAATTTTAAGCTGTAAATGTAGTGAAGCTCGTGGGTAGGCATGTCTTCAGCTTCTAGATGGGAAGCAACCTGTTTCCGGTACAGATCGATCGGGAAAAAATTTGAGACAGAGGTAGTTAGCGTCTTGACATTGCTGGTGGGAAAATTGATTCCGTGCTGTCAGTATACATCTGTAGCAGCAACCTTCATCTTTACCTCAACTTCAACTTCACTTCAACTTCACTTCAGCTGTCAGTGAGCCAGATCTGTTGATTTTGCGGCTCAAACATTCGTTTCCGAATCTTTAACTTAAAAACAATTCAGAGATTTCGTCTCGTCTTCGAGCTTTTGGAAACGCCACTGACATTCACAGCAGATATTTCAACTATGTTTCAGTATCCTATGCCCACACAAGCACCCAGAATTTTAGTAGGCTGGTTCATGAGAAGTGTACTCAACGCCCCGATTCGGATGTGCAGGTCATAACTGAGATTTCTAAATTTATCGGGGCCGTTGCCAATCAAAGGCAAGGCTTGATTAGACTGGCCAAGAAGAATGGAGAGAAGCTGATATTCCTGGCATAGATAATAATATGTTATGCGAATGTTTAGGAGGGAATCCGTTCAGTGTAGAGACTGAATGCCCATTATGTCAGACACGTGCAACGAGACGAGACCTTCATCTGTAGTATAGTTCTTCCGATTCTTGCAGTGGAGCCAAGCCTCTCTCTCTGACATTCGGACTATCATTTTATCACTTCTGTCATATATGTAGCTAAGCCTGATAGCGCCGGATTATCATTAATCAGCAAGCCGCATAGCTTCAGCTGTGAACACATCTCCTGCCAACTGGCTAGGACCGCAGAATTTGAAGATTACGTATAGAAATCTTTGGACGCACCATCCGAGACTTAGCTGATTGCCTTTGCAAATCCTTGATTTCTTGTCACTATTGAGATGTTTCTTGGAGCGTTCGGTTCCTCTCATCTGTGTAGACGTGATTTCAGTCATTCGTGACAAATATTGTGAAATGCATCGTTATCTCAAGACTTTGCCGAGATAACGATTTAAACACTACACACCTTATCAATTAGAAGCTCATTACAGCAATCAGAGGAGTCTACGAACGGGTTGTGCATGAAAGATCATACAACATTCAGTTATATCGCAAACCCCTTAACAAATACTTATGATCAGGTTCAGTGACATCGTAATCGTTTTGCTTAGCCCCGCCACCTTAGATTGGAGAATTGGCAAACCTCAAATAAGTCAAGATTGATGGCCAATAACTCATGTAGATTATTTCATCATCGTCACTTCACTGCACCAGTTAATGTCCTCTTTTTGTTTCGAGATATATAAGCTGAACACTGAACAGTATTATAGACTAAGTATACCATAGCGTGGTCCTTTTAGTACATTCGTCAACAAAAGCAAATTTATAATTTTTAACACATACGATGAATTCTATAAAATAATAACTGATACATTGAAATAATCAATTAGCTACTTACTGTCTCTCTTAAATAATTAAGTAAAGTAAGAGGAGTCCAGTACACGGAGTGCATTATCAAGTGCTGTAGTACGAAATCCCTGCTGACGCAGAGTCTAAATATCGACTTAGTGTCTAGGTCTTTGAACTTTGGTCTGCAAAAGCAAATTCATTGAATTAATATATTTCAAATCTATACCAGAATTCTTGCAAAACATTTCTCAAGGGTAAGGTCAGGTATTCCAGGCATGGTGACGTTTCTGAAAAGCTAGATGAATTCAAATTAATGATCTCATAAGAGAGTCTTTAGGCATGTATGTTTTCTACGAGATGATATGATCATTTTTCTTACAACACTTTGTGCATGAGATTTCTGATTCTTGCTTTTGCAAACAAGAATCAGAAATCTCATGCACAAAGTGTTTTCTTGTCACTTGGGCGGTTCATATTATGGTAATGCACAACACATTTTCAGAATTATTTATCAAGCACAATTGTTGGGTTCAGAAATTGGTGCTCAATCCAGGGGATATTAATGTTTGGACCTACATTGCTCCGATAGAGTAGCCTCTCTCCTAGCTCTTATAATCTCTTTACTTGAATGCACTGGAGGTGACATCTTCATCATTGTGCCTCAATGTAGACCTCAATCAAGGGTTTCAATATGTTTCATTTGAATTATCTTGACTTCAGTATAAAAATGTTAATTTGATCGAAGATTGAATTTTTTTGCAAAGACAATGTTGGATATCAGTACTTATCAAGACAATTCAATCCCTTGATATAATGTTAATTAATTGAAAATGACAACTGAAAATATACATTTGAATTAACAGTATTCAAAGTAGTTGGATGTATTCTAAAATTAAAATATTTTACAGTGTACATAATAATGTATAAATGAAGATTATATAAATTATTTCATAGATTTTTTCCTCTCGTAATAGTTAACAGATCAATTTGCCTGTATTACAAAAATAAATGATTATTCTATTCTATAATAATTAATGAAATACTTAAATACTAAGTAATATATTCTTTTAATATAAAATTGCATACTTATAAGAAGATTTTTGTTTTTTTATTGATAAATGTTCAAAAAAAGATACGTTTTTTTTTAGTGTTTTTACATAAAATGAACAAAAACTTCTCACATTGCCATCAAATTATTTTTTCATTCGTTTAATTATTTCAAAAATTTTCATTAGCAACAAGTCAACTTTATTGTGTCCTCATTTCAACTTTAAAACTTTAATAAATTCCTGTTCAATTGTTTCATTTCTAAATATACTGACATTTTAAAATTTTTTTATGTATGTTTTACATTTAAGCATCTTATCTTATTGAAAAATCTCATGGTATATACCTTATCACACCTTGTAATATTAAGCTTCTTCTGTGCTACAATTTTAATATCTTCATGTAAAATATTAGATAGTTCATTCATATTACAAAGAAAATGTTGATTTTAATTAACAAGATGATAGTTCTCATTTGAATAAAAATTTACTTTGATTCATAGCATGATAGTATGCATAATTTGAAATTTTGCATGGTTGATTCTGCAAATACTATTCAAACGTTCACAAATTTTGTACTCAGTAAAACTAGATACATATCAAATTATGTTCATGTCACCTTCAATTTCATTTTTTACATAATTTTACTAATCTTCATAAATATTTCAGTGATTCAATCATTAAAACTTAATTGATAAGGCTTTTATTCTAGAACAAAAAAAATTCTGAACTTGATGTATATTTGATATAAACTTTAACTTTAGTGATACAAGATAAAACTATTATATTTAAGTTCCATATGTGATGAGTTTCGGCTTTGTCTCACTTGATAGTAGACAGTTCTATTATATTGAAACATTGACTCCTTTTTAAACTGGATAAATTTAAGACGTTAGTTGTACTCAAGAGAGAGTAATATTATTTCTATGCATGT